AAAATATTGCATCTTGCATTTCATTGCAAAAGATGTGACATGAGAAGTTTTTGTGGTATTTCATAGCTGCAAGTTTAACAACAAACATCTTTGGAGAATGCTACCTCCACGTGACCTTTCTTATTGTGTCCCCATGGGCCAAGAAAAGGAAAGGTTTCTGAAGAGAGAGGGATGCCTGGTACTACAGCAACTGATCTGGTTTGAAAACCAGATTGTTTTTCAGACATACAAGCACCTGAAGCAGCTGAAAGCCAAATTTTATACCTAATAGCTTTGATGTTTGAGGAATTTATACTGTTTTTTAAGTCCTGAAATTTTTCTTTGAAAAAAGCTGAGACTATCAGAACCTATAAATTACTGTTCTTTATTTTGTGGAACAGGTTCCACAAGCAAAAGAGCAGGAAGGAGTGGAAAAAAGTTATAGATTGAATGAAAATTATTGGTAGAATGAATCTAATTCTGCAGTTCATGACTTTCCATTTGTGAGCTCAGTTCACTCCTCTGAAGTATTTGTTTTTTTCTGTTTCTAGAACGATATCTGATGTGTTTCAGTAGAGGATGGCCTCCCAATGGTTGCAGTTATGTTCACTGTGCTTTTTTTGTGTGATAACTTACAGTTTTTTAAACTGCTATCCTGAGCAGAAAAGAAAAATGCTGGTTGAGAAGGAGCCTTTTCCATCAGAATTTGGGAATGCTTGGATTTGCAGCATAAACTTGTTGAAGCAGAGCCAGATAATTCTACTGTAATGCATTTATTTGTAAGACATTCCTGTGCTTGATTTTGGCAAACAAATGGTGGGCAACCAGGCATTTTTGTGGACTCATCTGTGAAGAGACCTCTGCATGGCTTAGGAAAGGAATTACCCTGGGCATGAGCCCTTTTGATGTACCCTGGCTGCTGATTTGTCAGCAATTCTCAGTGCTCAAGCTGTTGCTACCTTCAGCCACAATAATTAGTCTCTGTTCTGGATGTGTTGTTAAACTGAAGTGTTTTATGGAAATTAAAACTGCTCCTAGAATACTTCTGGTATGTGGTTGTGTCATGGGCTTTTCTTTCTGGCCCCTCAGATCTTTTCACTACCTGAGTTTTCAAAATTGAATTCAAAAGCACGCTATGGTTTCAGCCTTTAATTCTAGAAGGCTTGGGTGATCATTCAGTTCAGTGTATTTTATCCTCTTGAAGCAAGATTAGTTTTCAATTTCATTTTTCTCATTTCCATTTAGGTCAAATCATTCTGGCAAAGCACAGGTCTGTCCTCAAATCCTGATGTGTCAGGAAAATACAAAGAGCTCCAAGTTCTCACCCTGGCTTTTTCCTGAGCTCACACAGGCTGACCTTGCTTTGTTCAGCTGGCACATGTTTTTTACATTCCTGGTTTTTTGGCAACCCTCCAGTGTTAGATATTTTACAAATGAATTGGTCACATCTATATTAGCAAGGGTCAGAGTGAATGACTAAACTTGAGTGAAGTGCACGAGATTATTTTCCTCCTACTGCAGGAAGAAATGAAAAAAAAAAATGTTTTCCCTCAGATTTTGAAATAACTAATTACCAGTGAAAACATTTTCCTGTATTTTAATATTTAATGGTACTACACTTAATTATACTGCAGAAGTGAAGTGCACGTTCTGTTCCCTGCTCTTTGGTTTTATGAATAATTCTCTCAGAGTTGCTTGAACTTGCTAATTTTTTGAGAAGCAATATAAAAATTGTCATTTAAATCATCAGCTTATAGTACATACAAAAAAGTCCAGCCTTTTGTAGAAGACAAACACAAATGCTTGACTTCATTTACTGTGTCCTGTCCCTTCTGGCTCAATGCATAAAGCTGAGCACATGCTCTTAGTCTCTGTGGTACCAGTGTCTGGAGTAATGAACCAGAGAGGATTGATGTATGCTCTGGTAAATGAAATTTTACAGTAAAATGCCAATCTGGCATTGAAGTCCAGCCAGTGCATTAAGGAATAAATGCACTAAAGGCTTCATTAAAGATGAGAGGAAATTACTGGCAGTTGTTCTAGAACTGACTGCAGGAATTGGGAGGGAACCAACACGTACTTGAGCATCAAGCCTGAATGTTGTCTTTGTGGACTTGAGTCCTTTCTCTAGATGTTTGGAAATACTAATCAGCCAGGAATGAGGATTTGGTGTTTTGTCAGAGCACTGGCCACGGCTCAGGTTATACCTTTAAAGAGGGATACCCCAGAGGCTCAGCAAGCAGTGAAGACACCAAATCCCCAAGCTGGTGGTGCCCAAGTCCATCAAACAGCTTTTGTTAATCAAGTGCATGTTTGCCAGATGTTGAAGAGCACAGCCCTGGTTTCATTCTTTGGAATAAATCCATAAAACGACCACATGAACTCCTTTGGTTGTTCCCCATAGCTTTTGTAATAACACAGTTCCTCTTAGAATGACTCTTGCTCCTCAAGTTCAACATTGATTGCACCCCCTGTAGTATAATTTTAGCTGATTAAAATTGCCTAGCAAAGACACCTTGGAGGCATTTGAACCTGTAGAACTAGCTAAGAATGTAAATCATGTTCTGGCATCATCTTCTGTTTGTTATGCATGTGATGACAATTTTCTTTAAACATTGAGGGTCTCTGGAATTCACCTTTTCTTTGCCTTACTGGCCTCCTTGGGCCTGTATGTTACAAAATATGTCCCCTAGCAAACTAGTAATTACAGAAACTGCAGTAATAATATTTGGCATTTATGGAAAGAGGTAGTACAGAGAGTAAAGCCTTCTATAGAAATAAAATTTGATATTTCCGTTAAAAATACATTTTTATATTTATTTTATTTTATTATTATTTTATATTTATTATTTATGTTTATATTTTATTTTTATATATTTTGTACGAATAGTTACATAGACTGAGCAAAGGCTCTTTAAAAATCTTTAAATCCTTTTGTAGCACGATCAGGAACAGATGTTCATTGTGTTTTTCATTTTTCATCACTTGCAAACATTTGGAAATACTTAATTTTGCACCTGGGATGAAGATGTATCTTCTCTTAAATTCAGTGTAATACTGAAAGACCTTTAAACTTTCAAGGATTTCACAGAAGCATCTGCTGACCCAGAGCATTTCTTGGGCTTTTTTGCTGTTGAGCAGTAAGTGTTAATTCATGTAGAAATCTGTGAAATATGAAGCAGAAGCAGTCCAGTTCATGTCCAGTTCAGCTGGAAATGCCAGCCTAATAGGTCATGGCTTTTACTTGGCAGTATTGAAAGGCAAGATGTTTATATTTGGATGACCTGAAGACTTTAATAATTTTTCATATTGTATTTCGTATCCCTGAGGTCTAAGGAAGAATGCATATCAGTGTGTGAGCAACACTGTGTTCACAGTGTAAATTTCCATTCATGGCAAACTGAACAGGAAACACTGGAATATACTGAATATTTTTCCTCCATCTCTGAGGGCTACAATCCTGTTTTTTCTCACACATTTCTTTTGGATTTTTCTATTCTTTTTTACTTGTATGTTTTGCTTGCTGCACACATTTTAACAGATGCACAGGCAAAAAAAAGAAAAAAAGTGATAACCCATATTTTGCTATTTTGTTGTATTTTGAAAGGTTTTTCTTAGTGAGGAGAAAGGGATATTCTAGATGCTACTTCTGTTGATACAAACTGAAGGTCACAGGTTGTTGACCAGAGAGCTGTGATGGGACTGGAACAGACAGATGAGGGCACAGCAGTTGTCATCATGCTCCACAAAGAGGCCTTTGGGATGCTGCCCTGCTCCAGTCTCTCTTTTGGGGTGCTGGCAGACTGCAGGGAATTGAAGCTGGCAGCGTGTTCTTTCCTGGCTCAACAGTCAGGTAATGAACACAGCCAAATTCTTCTCCCATTTACAGTGACACAACAGGTCTGTTGGTCCTGGTGGGGAGGGAGCTGTTGATCTGCAGTGCAGTGTCTCACATCTTCCTCTCCTGTCGAGTCTGTTTAGAAGTTGATGGAGTCAGCAGTCTGTGGGGTGATACTGAACCTCTGGCAGAAGGCCTGTGCAAGATGTATAACTTGCATCCTAGGAGATGCCCTTGAAAGATGGTTTATGTACAAACTCAGTGGGGAGTAAGTTCTGCAACAGCCTATGGAGAGTAAATTTTAAAAAGAAGCATACATCAAGAGCATAAAACTTACATATTTTGAGAATACTGGGAGGAGCAAATGGGTGTCTGTCTCAGTTTTTATTAGTAGTGCCTTACATGGTATAGGAACTACATTCATAGATTTCAAATCCACAAGAGCTTGGCTTGACCATCTAGTGTGCACAGCAGAGGCTGAAAATGCAGAGTCTGCATTACTGCTTCTGTATCTGCCTCGTGACTTCCTTTTGAGGTAACATATCCTTTTTATAAAAATTTGCTCTACTTTGATCTAAAGCCTGTGTAATAGACTAATTAGAAAGCTGTTCTGTTCTTGTGATGTACTGCCACTAGTGCTGTTCATTAGAGATGTTTGATCCAGAATAGCTTTTACTCCAGTGGGAGAGAGAACAACCCGGTAGATGTTATTCTTGGAACCTGCTTTCCAAGATAGTTTGCTAAAACCCAGATTTTACAAGTGCTCTGACACACTAAAATCTTTCTTTGGGTCCAGTATGTTAGTTGAATAAGCAGCCTGAGACTTGGATCAATTTGCCTAATGGAGCAAGACTCTTTAGTGTTGCTTCCTGGAGAGTTTTTATGAAGGCAGAAGCTGTGGTCTGTAGTTTAGCTCAGCTCAGAACCCATTAGAACTAGAACATTAGATCAGACCCTTTTGGCTTTTATAGGTGACAGTAGTAAATGAGTAATGTACAGCCCTTTCTTTGCTGCTGCACATGGCTCACTTAGCATGTCGAGTTTGTTGCTGTAGCTCGTTCTTTCACATTTTTGCCAAGTGCATACAACCTTCAAACACACTTTGAATGTGAGCTTGCAAGACGTCCTTTGTTTCCTCCTCCCCCAATAACTGGCAGCACACTGTCTTTTTCTCTCTGCCAAGGGACATACTGCCAGCAGAGAGAAGTGGAAGCTATAACAGAAGGAGATGAGGACAACGAAGGCTGCTGCTGCTGCAAGCCTGGGCACTTGCCTCACCTGCTGTCCTGTAACGCAGCCTTTAACCTGCGCTGGCTGACGTGGGAGATCACACGAACCCAGTACATCCTGGAAGGATACAGCATCATCGACAACAACGCTGCCACAATGCTGCAAGTGTTCGATCTGCGCAGAATCCTTATCAGATACTATATCAAGGTAACCTCTTTGGTGTAGTGCACTTTGTTCCTAGGCAGGTTTGTCACATAGAATGCTGTTTGTCTATAGAAGAAAGAGCATTTGAAGTCTTTTGCTTTATGTTTATCCATCTGCACCACAGTCTGGCAGTCAGACTGACTTGATGTTAGATCATAGAACTGTAGAATCATTTGGTTTGATCTTAAAATCATCCAGTTCCAACCCTCCTCCTATGGCAGAGACACCTTCCACTGGGATAGGGAAAATTAATTAATGTTTCCCTTTGCTAAATTTAATTCTGATCACTTATACTTACAGTTAGTACACAAAATGGCAGGCAAGCTTCAGTGGAGATCAAGAAGGTGAGTTACCATCCTGTAGTGATAAATTCAGACAAAGCCTTCTTTCTTACGTTCTTACAACACATCACTAACAGTTTGGTATTTCTTCTTGCCTTGGCCTTTCCACTGTTTCTCTCTTTTTTTTCTGGAAAAGAAAAGAAAGATATTAACAAGCATAAAGTTCTTGGGAAACTTCTGAAGAGCTGTTTCTCGAATGTACCTTTTAGTAGTGCAAACCCCCTTCTTACCTTCTCTTTTACATATATAACACAGCAGATTTGAAGTTGGTTTATTCCATTGATTACACGGTAGTTCATTTACACCATTTCTATATTTGCATTGCTATTAAAATCACAATAACCACACAGATACGAATTTGTCAAAATAATTGAACTGTATAGTCAAGCAAGACACCTACATCCTCTGCCAGAACAATTCACAGTCCAGCAAATGAAGAACTTGTTGAGCTTTATAGTCTTCTAGTGAAACAGCAAGAGCCAAGTGCTGCTTTCTATGCCACTGGTACTGCCATGAAGCCAGTTGCTAGAGATCCAAACCATCCCTGACATCCTTCTACTTACATCTCTGCAATTGTAAAATCTGTCAACTTCAGAGAGAGACCTGTTGTAAATAAGTTAATCACCATTTTTTGCAAATGAACCAATGTAGTAAAAACAAGCTCATTGCCTTACAAAGCTGCTTTGATCATGTAGTTGATTACTTCTGGGATTTCATAAATAATTTTGCAGGCAGTAGTGCCTGGTAACCAACCTGCTTTGTTTAATCAACTAATTAGAAATAAAGCTGCATGTGAGCATGATTTTTTCATTTTAGAAGTGGGGTTTGTGGCTATAAATTGTTTTAAAGCAATGTAACTAAGCTAAAAAAAAACCCAAACCAAAACAAAAAAATAGCTCTTCTTTAATGAGTGTGTTGCTGCAATTGTTTTGCTTTACTTTAAAAGGTAACCTGAATAACTGGAACATAAACTGATGCAAGCTGGCAAATGACTCAGCTTTTGAGGGGGAATGAGACTGAAAAAATCCCAGTCTAAGCTGAAATCAAATCAGCATCTTATTAGTTTAAAGCAGTGAAGAATTTTGCTTTATGAACTGGAACTGTTTTTGTGCCTTAAAATGAATTAATATATGGAGGACTTGCGGGAAGTGTGAGGTTCACCACATGGGATGTGAAACTGAGCTGAAAGGCAGTTTAGAGCTTCTGATTCTGGACACACCTGAGAAGCAGCTGACATAGATGGCTTAGACAAACTTTCATCCCATGTGATACAGGTGTGGTTGGTTAGTTGATCCTGATTTGAGTAGGAGGGACTGGGTTAAATGCTGTGGCCCCATCTCCATTCTGTGCAGAGTTCATGTGTGCTACTGATGGCTCTGAAAACATGAAAATCAAATCTCTTCTTCTTGGATTTAGTTGAGCAGGTACTATTGTAGTGCACTCACAGAGTTTCATTCTCAGGAAGGTTGGTCTCTGTTCTCAGGCTGTTGATCTGTGTAATCTACTTCTCTTTTTAGGGAAGGGTGAACAGAAGTTAATAATAACCTGTTGGCACCTTCAGTATTAGCCTGGGCTCCCTTTAGTGAAGGAAGGGTGCACTCAGGAAATCCCTTTTCTAGAATGTCACTTCTCAAAGTTATCTGGATATTTTCTCCTTGTATTTTTAAAGTAATTAGTTTTTTCCATAAACAGGGGCTTTACAAAGATTTGGTAAAATCTTTAGTACAGCCTTGGAAGGAGAAGATTATAATATGTATTAGGTCAGCTTTTTTCCTGTTTATTTAATGCTTTCCTCTAAGTAAACAGTATCAGAGACAGAGGTGAGAATTCATTCCTTCCCCAGCTCTTTCTTCTGGGGGAATCTAGATCAAGACCCTGTGCAGTTTCACCGTGAACATTTTAAAAGTCCTTGACACTTTCTTTTTAACGGTGTGAAAGTAATTGTAAGAACTATAGATAAGGCAGTATTCAGGTCACATAAAACACCAACTCAAAAAACACTTAGGCTGGAGGTTTCTGCAGGAACTGCACTTCCATTGCATTGAGCATTTGGAGTGTTTTTGGTTTTTTCTCCAATGTTGTAAATATTTACCATATTGTTTCAGAAATGCCATATAGCTGAGGATGTACTTTTGCACAAAACATATCTTGTAAGAGTTACCAAGAGCAGAATTTAATTAGGTGACAGAAGATTTTGTTCTTTCTGTGTCTGATTGCCAGTCTGATTTTTTTCCCAGCTGAATCAGTTTCTTTGTAAACACAGATGAGGATAATAAAAAAAGCAAACTCTATCTCAAAAATCAACAAAGAAAATGTTTGCTTTGTTTTAGGTCTTCTATCCTTCAATAATAATTATTGTATTGCTCTTTTAAACAACGAGTGGCACTGAGCATCTTATTCTGAAATCATATTTATTTCATTTGCAGTTTCATTGACAGCCTAGAAAGGCATAAATTTCTTATTATGAAAAGATTTTTATTCCCCACAAATAAAGTGGGTCAGCTCCTGTAGCCCTTCTGCATATACTTTGAAATCACATGAATCCTTTCTAAGGAGTGTATTGTTCTTCTCATGCCATTAAATGAAGGTCCATCCTGTCTCTAGCTGTCTGACTAGTTTTTTTCTTCTGAAGCTCGATTCTCCTCTTACTTTTTGTAATTATTTTGTACGATTTGAAAGAAGAACTGTGGAGGGATCTGGGGTTTTTAAAAGGGCTGGTAGCACTTCCATCCTTTGTAATCCATCATATTTTAATTTTATACATTTATTTACTTAGTACTATTTCCATTGACTAGGTCACGTGGAACTACATCATCTTCAGTCATGAATCATACCTGCTTCTCATTTGCTTTGGAATCCTACTCTGAATTAATATTATAAAACATTATAATGGGGCTTTCCTGCTGATGGAACACCCTGGAACTTCTTGAGTTTCATATTCTTTTGAAAATATGCTCTAAGTTGTGTTTGGATAGAATTTTTTTAATTACTTTTTTATTTATTATTATTTTAATGTGTCCAGACAGAACGGTTAGAAAAGCTTAGAAACTCAGGCAGAGATATGAGATACGTGTGTTGCTGCTTTCTAGCTTTTATGTACTTGGTAAAAGAGCTGCTGTTGAATGCTGCTCCCTCCTCAGTGCTTTAAAAGCAACTCAGTTATATCAGTTATCAGCTTTTTAACCTGACACGTAAGAAAAAATCTGTTATTCTTTACCTGCTGCATTGAGAAATAACGGATTTGTGTCATACACATCTGTCAGGTCTCATCTTTGTGGCTAATAAAAATTAGGAAAGCATCATCCCAAGAAAACAGTAAGTCCACTGAGGAAAAAAGAGCCATGTTTTGAGGATGTGACCGTCTACTACTGTTTTTTCAAAATATGCCTAAGCTATTATTGATATTACCTTCTTGGTGATAGACTCTATAGAGCCCTCTAGTCCTGACATGTTTGAGTGCTGGAACTCTCTATTCCTATCGTTGTGTTGATTTTCCTGGAAGGCAGAAGGATATTAAAAATACTACTTCTTTTTCTGTTGTTAGCTACCATTATCAATTATTATCATCTTTCTAATTTGAACACTTCTGTGAAATAATAATGATGCTAAGGAGTAAAATGTAAGAAACAGATACACTACTACAGCTCTTAATGGGGTCCTATTTGGCTTATTCTCTTCTGTGTAAAAATATGTCTGCTTTGATCAGAGTTCAGAGTGACTAACGCTTGCACTTTTTGTCAACAGAGTATAATATACTTTACAGCAAGTTCTCCCAAAATCCTTGACTGGATAAAAGATGAATCCATCCAAAAGATACTGCAGCCTTATGCAAAGTGGCATTATATTGAACGTGACCTTGCGATGTTTAATGTTAACATAGATGAAGACTATGTTCCGTGTCTCCAAGGAATAACAAGAGCTAGCTTCTGCAGTGTTTATCTGGACTGGATTCAGTTCTGTGCCAGGAAAAGGGTGGAGGTATGAGTCTTTCTTTTTTTTTTTTTTAATAGTGGTATTAGTTTTAATTCCTGGGATGTGAGTGAAATGGTGCATGGCTACTCTTTTACTTGCTCAGGATTAATAGAACAAAATTTATTTCATAAAAGCTTTCAGCTTTAAGATAAAAGGAAAACATGTTCTATGGAATGGAAAAAACATATTTTGGAAGCTACCCATGTGCAAAAACTGGGATCTTAAGGAGCATTAGTCTTTGAATACAGAACCAATTCTTTCCTGTGCAAATTTCCAACATTAACTTTGTCAGCTCTAGAAAGCACGGATATATCAAGTGCTCACAGAAGTACTGCTAGAGAAGGCTCCAATCAGAGAAAGTCATCACAGCATTACAGTTCCTTCAGTGGTGCCAGTGATTGGTACCTTTGCCAGATGTCTGTCATGTCTGTGTATCCTTTTCAGACATTTGCTTGTATTTGTGTAGAGCTGCAGGATGGTAGGGGAGTGCATGGCGCACTCCCTGCTGGCACAGGTCACCTCTGAGGGCTCGTGACTAAACGTGAACCACACCACTGAGCCATGTGAAACCAGTTGCAGCTCTAGAAGGTCAAGGGCAGATGTGCAGCTGTGTACTAACATGCTTTGAGCCTCTAAGATTACTGATGGTCAGGAGTTGTTTGTCAGAAATGCACTTCTTCCATTCCATTTCCAGGGAATACTCAAAATAGCCCAGAGGGAGAGTACAGTTTGAAACAAGCATATTGCCTCCATCTAATTTTCTGATTATTGCTGATAGTGGCAAAAGTGGAGATGTGTCTCTTTCCTGGCCATGATGTGCTGTATTTGTGCATTTTCCCACTCAGGATCACAGACTGCACATCCCATTACTGACCTTAGTTGGTGTAACATCACTGAATCTTTCTTGAAACATCACCGAATGTTTCTGCTCCACTTTTGTTCCTTCTCATGTCTCTAATGCTGAGTACCATTCCACCAGTTCCCCTGTGTATCATTATATTGATATTGTTTTCATTGAATTGTCTTCTGAGCCCTTTCCCACCATCCCACCATCTCCTCCTACTGGGAATACTTCAGTTCTTTTCTTTCTCATCTCCATGTCTCAGCTCCCAAGTTCTGACACACAAAGAATTGCGGGGTGCGGGGAAAGCCACTGTTAATTGATGCCTTTCCACTTGTTCTCTAGATTTTCAAATTCAATAATAGATTTAGGGATGCCAATAGACTTGAAACATGTAAGTTAGATATCAAAAGGCAAATTAATGCCTGCACTGGTGCCACACACACATTTATCTTTTTGTTACGTATTTTACCTTTGTTTTTTAGTTCACTGACTATAGAAAAGCAAAGTTCATGTAGGAGGTGGGATAAAAAAAACCAAAGCTCACTGTACACGTAGCCCAGAAAATCATTATATTTTACAGAAGGAGCTACATTCTCCATTATAATTGCCTTCAGTTTTAGACTCAAAGAAAGCTCTAAGAAATCACTCATTGCGTAGACTGAAATAATAATCCGTATCCTCCTGAAGATTAACTTGCATGAGGAGTTGTTCCAGTTTTTTCCTCCTGCGTGGTAGCAAAGTTTTCTTTGTGAAAATTTCATTAAAAAACCTCTCCTGAGCTAGTAAACATAAATGAGATGTTCTGACTGCTTATTAAAATGGGCTGTCAGTGTCATCAACCATTTAGTTAGATATTGTTATTCACTGAAAATGTGTGCCTCCAAACTTTTCCAAAGAGACTGTGCTTCTAGAATCTGTGGTAAGGTTTCATGGGAAATGTGTTCCATGGAAAAGGGTTTTGGCTGTCTCCAATTGCAGTGTCTCCCAACAATGAGGAACCTCCTCCAGTTTAGAATGTGAGATCTGGGAGGAGCAGAAGCAAACTTAAACCCCACATATAAAAGACCACCACCACCAAAGCTCCCTTCCCTTGGGATCTCACTACCAGAGAATGAAATGTTCGGTTTCTAGCCAGTGGGCAAAGCAAGCTTGCGTTTTACAAAAATCCTCTGATGGTGATGGTCTTCCTTCTTGGTCTGTTTAATGGCAAAGAATGTTTTGGTGTGTAGGTCCAGCTACACGCAAATGTTATGAATGTCACCATTTATAGCATTGTGGTGCTTTTAAATGTGATGTTTTCATGTATTGTAACATCTTCATCTTAAAACTTTGTAGCACCTGGACAGTGATGAGGATTCTCCTCTAGTGACGCTTTCCTTTGCCTTGTGTATACTGGGTCGGAGAGCTTTGGGAACTGCATCTCACAACATGGCCATCAGGTAATCTTTAGGAATCCTTTCTCCTCATGTAAAATAAAGACCTGTTTGTCTTTTTCCACATGACATAGGATCTCAAGAGAAGATTAGATCAAGGTGAAGTCTCATTCCTCCATAAAATGTTGGGGATTTTTTTGTCATTCCTGGTCATCTTTTACTTTTTTTGTCATTCCTGGTCATCTTTTACTTTTTGGTTGGCTAAATAGCTAATTAACAGTCCTTATTTTATAAGGCAAAGTAGAATTTTTGATTGAAAGAATGGGTACCAATAGAGTTGTAGTTAACTAAATAATAATAAATGTATAAAGGGTTCTCCTCTGTACTCCTCAGGGGTGTATTCCTGTTCATTGTGCCACTTCATTCTGACAACTAAGGAAGGGAGAACCTCTGATCTCCTGAGGCTGCAGCTTTGTCTGTTCTCAGAGCATCTACCTTGCTCATTTGTTCATTAATTCAAAACACTTCTTCCTAAGAAATCTGGTTAATTTAAATATGCTTCATTGAGATTGTTTCTAAATATGCTCTTCATCTTATATTTTCATTAGGGATTCTTCCATTTTCACTGGGAGTTCTGAATTGTTTGGGTATTACACAGTTTAATTTACACTGTGCTATAGATGAAGCATTTTATTAATGAAATAATGATTATTTTAATGGAGTTTAACTTCCCATATAATTTTAGGTTTTTATTAGATTTATTTGAACTCTCTGTGTGCACAGGAGTTTAATAACAATGGAGAAGCTGAATAAATACAGTGTCTGAGTGACCTTGCTATGTTGGCACAGAATGGTGAACAAAACTACCTAGACCTCTGTCAACATGCTCCTTAGAGAGGATTTGTCTTACTAACAAGCAAACAAGGACAGCATGTGTGATTTTGAATGCATTTTGTTATGAAACAGTCCTTTTAAATATTCATCCTAGCTTTGTTATCTGTTGAGCCATTTATAACATTTTGTTTTATGTCTTCCATGCAAAATGCTCGTGGTTCACGTGGCTTATTTCTTGTTGTGCTGCTGATTTCTGCTTTCTAAAGTGACTTTTGTCATTTCTTTTCTACTGGTCTTTGCACATTCCCTTCCTGTAGTAGTTTTCTTCTCTGCTGCATTTCTTCTCCATTTCTATTCACTCAAATTAGAGTGATGTTAGGTAAGTCATTGGTATTTTTAAATTGTCCTATTTTTTTTGTGATCCAAATTTTAGAGTTTGGGGGCATGATGTGAAAGTTTATATGCATTTATGATATTTGTTTGAGAAAATATTAAAGTGAATTTTGATCTGGGCCTGCAACAGATGGGTCACGGCGATATTAGGAATTCATCTAAAAATAACACAAAAGCTTCCTAAAACTGTCATCACATTGCATGCACTTCCCACTGGATCTTAAAATCTTCATTACAAAGCTTTGGCTCTGTTACAGATACAATAACAATGTCCCCTATTTGTATTGGCTTACATGGTTAGTAGCTAGTGCAAAGGGATAATATTATCAGAGATTTTCCAAAACTTAACATGGAAAGTATGAATGTTGAGGATAATTATTTGTATAGTGTGCTATAAAGATCTTAATAATAATTTCAGGAGTCAGCTAAACCATGTCTTTTCAAAATCTGACAAATACCAATGAACTGAATTACTTCCTCTCTTTTGATAAGTGGATGCTCCATATTTAAAAATACTTTTCTTGGGGAGGGAAGGTCTGCAGAAAGGCAAAAACTGGGGTAGTCATCTGAGGGGCACAGCTCTGTCACTTTTTTTTTAATCTGTTCTATATAATCTTAAATTAAGTCCTGGTTTTCCTTTTATTAAGCAAGTGTTCTAGGGCAGTATCAAATCATTGTATTTTAAAAATGTATTTTGTGACATAAAAGGCACTAAGTGGAAGCTTCTCTCGGTATCTTTTCCAATGCTACTTCACAAAAGCTTTCCCTGGAAAAGTTTCACTGTGGAAAAACTGTGTCACTTCCCCACCTGGTTAAATTACTTTTAATGCATTTCCACTGTCAGAAGGAGCTGGAGAAATAGAAAAGGAATCTGAGTAGCACAGTTGAAGTTATAACCTGCTGCAGCTACAAAACATGACTTTATCTTGGTAAATTGCATTTCTTCTTGTCTTTCAGAATGTATATATCTTAACTGACAAAAACAATTTAGTAGAAATTATTAACTGAGGAGCAAGGTGGATACCTTACCCTCCTGACATCAAGACATTTATCAACAGAAATCCCCCAAATACTTTCACTTGAGCATTAAGGGCAGGTCTCACCCTGCTTACAGTGTTTATTGCTTCCAACAGATCTGCACAGCTTGTTTAAACACAAGTGAGCAGTCAGTCAGTGAGACTCCAATGGGAATACAATTGCACAGCATGCCAGGGGAAGGAGACTTTGTCCAATGTGTGCAATGCTGATGAGGCCAGAAGGAGATGCTCACAAGAATTGTCTCCAGGCACTCCTCTGTCTGTCTTTGGCAGAGCACAGCAGCTCTCACCGAGGGCGATCTGGAGTGTTTCTGCTGGTCCTTGCCCCCAGCTCTCAGTCTGCTGCAGGTCTGCATTCAGTCAGATGGAGGAGAGGTACTTAAGGTGCTCAGAAGTCAGAGGAACATTTCCTTGAATGATGCTTCACACCTTTTCTTTGAAAAGGTGCCATGATATTCTGGGGACCTTTTGGAGCCTACTAATGCTGAAGAGGGTTTTAGTTTCCTCAGGAATGGTCAGAGCAGGCAGTCCCACAGCCAGATGTGTGCATGAGAGGGGGATGTACCACACCTATGAGGTTGGAACTAGATGATCTTTAAAGTCCCTTCCAACCCTGGCTATTCCATGATTCTGGCTGTTGGGGTGTGGGTCATTTTGTCAGAGGTCAGGGCTCCTAACACGTTTTGTCACGCTCAAATGCTGGATTAAAAAAGTACAGATTTAGATTACTCTGGTAAGCACTGAGAATTTACCTTGAACATCATCTCAGGACTTTCTATTAATTCTTTCTGGGGAGCATCTTGTCTACAACATTGCTAGAGCTTTTGGGATGAGTATGAGATGTAAGGGCCAGGTAGGTATTGAAGTCTTCTGTATATGAAGGATTTCAGATGTTCATTGGAAGCAAACCAGCCAAGAATCTGCTGTGCTCTGCAGTTCACGTTTCATTCTCAGAGATGACTGTACAGGTAGTGGGAAACTTTCTGTGGATTGAGTCTAGTCCTTGCTGTGTCTTGGGAGGAGTGACAGTCATCCAGCTGCTGCACAGTGGAGCAAAGGTAATGCTACCGTGGGCTGTGCACTGCAGAGTTGAGAGTCAAGTTTACATTGTGTATGCAAACTATCAATTTGCACTCATTTACACATGATTTTGTCTAATCTATTAATCAGTGAATGTCACTGTGTAAACCAAGATTTTAAATGCTCTTATATAATGTATGTAAATAATTATTCATTGTACCTTGTTCATGTAAATGTCAGTAGAAACCTAACATTAATACTAGATTACACAATAAATGAATTCATTAAGGAGGCAGAACATTGCAATGCAAATCACTTGCTCTTTTAAACTGTCATTAGGAGGCATCCTGCACAAAATGTAATTTGAAGAATGACATGACATTACCATTCATTTATTCAAATGTGAGTGATATGTTTAGTTGTGTATTTGTTGGAAAAAATTACAGAATAATTCTATTCAGCCACTAAAGCTACTAGTAAAGAAATACTTAGTAAAAAAGTTCAAAATTGGAAAAATACAAAAATCTCTCGATAAAGCATCTCTCATCAGATACTTCCAACACTACCAAGATTGGCTGCTCAGGTTCCCCAAGCTCAGTTTGAACAAAGGATTGTTTCAAGGAATGCCTCTGCCTGGAGGAGCTGCTGCTCACCCTGAAACCCAGGGAAGAAGCTGGCCCCACTTGTCCCTTCCCACCTGGTGACCCCACTGCACTGCCCAGCATCTGAGGGAAGGGGAAGTCATAGAGGGCACAGCCATAGAGGGCACAGCCATGGCACCACAGGGCTCCTGCTGGTGGGAGTTCAGGCAAACAGTGCAGCCTGATGTCTGCCAGAGCTGAGCAGGGCAGAAAAGTTTGACTCAGCTCACAACCACTGTCATCTAAAATATCCAATTAGAAGGGCTATCACTGAAGATCCTTCAGGTGAACTATGACATTCAGGTCATTACTAGCTCACAGACATGCCTGTTCCTTTATTCCTTAAATAAACCTACAGTTAACATTGGAGAAGGTCTGCAAATGCAAAATACACAAAGAGAGATCCACCAGCTCATTATTCTGCATCCATACTGTTTTCAGGCTGGCACTAAATGCTTTTAGTTTCAGCTCTCGGAGCAGCATAAGGAGTGCAGGAGGAGGGAGTATTTGCTTTGGCACTGTTGCCCTCCCTCTGGTGTTTGTGGCACTACTTAATCCCCTCTTTTCTGCACCTTCAAGGGGCTGATGGTTCCCATGGACCTACCAGTCTTGTTCTAAAGTAGCTTGCAGTTGTGAGAGCAGCTCTTCAGGTTGCTAGCTCAGAGGTTTTGAAATGTTGCCAGATACAGTAGTTATGTCTCTTACAGATTAATGTTGTTCCTTTGACATGTAATTTTACCTTAACTTGTTTTTTTTTTAATATTTTGAACCAGCCTGTAACTACAGCAGATTACTAATTGAGGTATGTTAAAAGTGGGCCAAGAAAGCAGCAACAACCTTGAGTGAGGCCTGAGATGAAAGTGGCTGAGTCAGGCCTGAGATCAAAGTGGTTGACTTTTACAGCTTCGTAATAATCTCATTAGTGTCTTCAGGAGAGAGCATAACAATGGGAAGAATAACGAGAGCTGTACCTTATGTGGATTAAGGAGGCTGCATGTTGCAGAAGTAATGGCTTGAGATAGTGTCGCACTGTAGGCAGAATGTACCCAAAAGCCTCATTACAATTGTCAGGAGAATAAAAGATGCCCATGGTTTTGTGACTACAATCTCCTCCAGGCCGCTCTGGTGGAAAATGCTATACATAAAATAATTGACTCTCAGCCTCTCACAACTACTGCCACCACTGATTTCCTCCTTGTAGCAGTCATGTTTGTTCTTAAAAATCCCAAGTTAGAGAACTTATTATGCAGAGGGATGACAAATGGATGAGCCTCCCCTAACCCCAGGGAGAGCTGTAGGTGCTTCTCCCCCACTCCCTCTGCTGATGCTCAGCTGTGGTTTGCATGGCTGTGCCTTCTGCACATCCTGCTGTTCACAGCAGCCTGTTTAGCTGGTGCTGATGCCCATAAAACACTTTGATGTGAATGCAAACTCTCTGTCTGCTCTGGTGTTCAGATTTGGCTCTGAGAGCCTCCTAAGATGTAAAATCCAGTTCTCTTTCCTGCCTACTCCTCCCTTTGTCCCAGCCAACTTTTCAGAGCAAATACAGGGGGTGTTATGTGGGGAGAAACTATACTACAGATCATCATTAGATGCAGAGTTCAAGGTAGCTTTTACAATTTCATCCTCGGAAGAATATTTAGGTACAGAAGGGATTTTTTCCCAGGGAAGGATTCAGCTGTGTGTACTAATGATGTCTGGTGAGTGGGAAAGTGAAAGGAGCCTTCCTTCACTTGCCTTTGTGATGCCTAGCCTTTTCAAAGCAGGTGATAGTCACATATTTTACCATGCTGGGTACACTCACTGTTCTCCCCCCACCCTCCCAGCTGGCTTATTTTAGGGCTTTCCTAGCTATTAAGCAGGGTTTGAATATATTATCATTTTCTGAACTGTGGAGATGATGGATTGAAAGTCAGTGGGGACCAGGACCCACTCCTTAAGGACACATAATAACTCCCACTGAAATCAGTACTTGAATGTTTTGAAGATCTGAGTGTGCCTGTCATAGGCATGTTTTAATATGTACCATAGAGCTAATAAATGCAAATCAGTTAAGAGCTCATAAAAGTTTCTCTGTACTCCTTATGTTCTCAGCAGTGAGAGCAGCCCTGCCTTTCTGGCTAGTTTTGGCCCCACTGATTAGTTGATTTGTATTACGTGATACTTTCATGGAGAAAATCAGTATCCAGCTGTTTCTCTGGTAACAACATATGTATTTCCACTTAAATTTCTAAGACACATTACTCACCAAGAGCAAAATTAGAATGCCTTTGAGCTGAAGTTGGCCAGGGATTTCTCAGACTCTCCTTCCTCTCTCAGAGAAGAGAATATATTGAAAAGATATTTTTCTTTTTTATAAAATAATTAAGGAAGCTCAATTATGTGAAAAGATTGCGTATTCTCTAGAGAAAGGCTGGGCAGTAATAAAAACTGCTAACATCTTAATACAGCTTCTCCCCAGAGTCTTTACAATCTAAAAGATCAACTGTTGTAAGAGTGAGCAAAATCTTAACAGGTAGATGAAACCATGTCCTGTGGGTTTGCAAGATATGCCTGTTTTTAATAGATGGGTCCGTTTTCCTCAATTTTGAGATCACTTCTTCAGAGCAACATTGGCACAGCAGTCACCTAAAGTCCTCACACAACCATCTTTTAACAACTACCTGATTTTGTAGCTTTTACCTTGTGCTTATATTGTAGGTCCAGGTAAACCATCATGCAAGGCCAGGCAGAACAGCCTACATCTAGTTTCTTACGTTAGAAAAAAGAAACCCCATGTGTGTTTGCTTTGGGGCTCATTGTTTCAGTAGGAAGCACCTGTTGGTTGCTTCCTGCTCTCACCTGGTTTGCTGAACAGTTCTGAAATTCAGTATTCTCAGGGCATCTGCTTTAACGCTCACATTTACGTTTGAATGTCGTGAGAAAGGTCTTAGATTTCCTCAAAGTTTTGTTGTTTTGTTTTTTTTTTTTAATTATTTTTCACTTAAAAGGAGAAGTGCTAACAGGACTGATAAATAAACTTTCAGATAAGGAAGCAACTTCTGCCGGCTGCACGGGGAGTGGGGAGTGCAGCTGGCATTCTGACCTGGTCTCTCTGGCACAGCTGCAGAGAAGCAACGCCCTGAGGCACCCTGTGACCCAGTCACCCATCCCGAGGACATCCTTTATTCTGGGTGCATCTCGTGACCAGTCATGTACAGAGCATGCAGAAGGAAAACTGCCTCTCCCAAGGAATGCTTTTTTGTTAGAGAAACAAGATGTGACCTCTGCTTTACACCCACCGCAGGCACTCGCCCTGGGCCAGAGGGTCACCAGCCACTGCACAGTGGGTCTTTGCAGACATGGATCTGTTGCATAAGGTTGTTGCCCCAGCAATCCGAATGTCTCTGAAACTACACCAGGTAGGGTATTTATTTATGTATTTATTTTTAGCATTCACTATTGTGTCTGGTTGCTTAGGAAAGCACAGGATACCTTAGCAACTTTCCAAAGGAGGGAACAAAGAAGAGGGAAATGGAGTACTTGCCACCTTATTCTAAGAAACATCCTTCAACAAGATGGAAGAGTTTGGCATTTATTTATTTTGCATTCACTTGATTTTCTTTTCTGAACCCCTAGCTGCCCATTTGAAACCACAGAGCTTGACCCTGCATTTTTCATCAAAAAAAAGCAGAAAATCTTGTCATATTTTACTTGTGTGGATACTATAAAGGTGGTTTCTAGATTGAAAGGGAATACATTGATTATGCTGATTTGACTGCTAATTTCAGGTCAGGCCCTGTATATCTTGGAATTGATTTTGTTCTTGCTCTGGCACATTATGATTTAGTATCATATACTTTTATCATGAATGATATTTATAATTGTTCTGGATGTTACTGAACTGCTGTGAATTTATATCTGATTCTTTGGCACAACAATTTTACAATGTTTTCGCTGGCCATGGTGCTGCTGGCTGAAGTTTCAGGATTGTGATTTGATAGTGGTAGTATTTGCTGATGGATTCCCAGTATGTGCTGTTGTTGGTGGGGTTTTGTGAATAAGAATTTCCACAAGAACTGTGGACTGCCCTAGGTGGTATCTCTCTCCAGTTTACCCAAAAGCTCAGCCTTCCATAGTTTCACACTTCATTTAAAAAGAAAAGGATACGCTGGTATTCTCCACGTGTGTTTGTCCAGTGTAGTCATGAGATCAGAACAGGTTACAATAAAACTGAAATTGTACCTTTCTATATTACTGTTAAATGAACCTCCCAAAAGACACTCTTTATCAAGTGTCAAGTCCCTTGGAGGGGGCCAGCTGGAAACTGTTTGGAAGTCAGTATTTTGTTTCCTGTCAGTATTTTTTTGTGTTTTCACAAATGTACCTGACCTCTTCAATACCAGGACCAGTTCACATGCCCAGATGAGTACGAGGACCCAGCAGTTTTGTACGAAGCCATCCAATCCTTTGAAGAAAAGGTTGTGATTTGCCATGAAGGGGACCCAGCCTGGCGCAGCGCAGTCCTGTCCAACCGGGAGGAGCTGCTGACTCTGAGACATGTGGTAGATGAAGGAGCAGATGAATATAAAGTTATCATGCTCCACAAAAGCTATCTGAGCTTCAAGGTGATCAAGGTAAACATGCCATCTTTCTAATATTGCAGTAATTTAGGGCTGTGGTAACTAGTACTGTTTCTGAGCAATGGGACTGAAAGGAGAAGTAGTTTTTAAGTCGGGACTGGAGGCCAAAAGAGCTCTCTTCAGTTGACTTCCATTTTGCCACCCACGTTTGTGTCTCTGAAATATCATTCCAGGCTTCAGCAGGGAGTAGCTGCAAAAGTTCACGAAAAGCTGTTGGTGCTAAGACATGATGTGTTTGCACACTCAGCCACTGCCGTTCTACTTAGATCCTATAGTTCTGCATCCTGAGTATCAAATGTTTTTGCACTATCTGCATGTTTCTAACCCACCTGCAGGTCAACAAGGAGTGTGTCAGAGGGCTTTGGGCTGGCCAGCAGCAGGAACTGATTTTCTTGCGCAATCGTAACCCAGAGAGAGGAAGCATCCAGAACAACAAGCAGGTGTTGCGGAACTTAATTAATTCTTCATGTGATCAGCCACTGGGATATCCAATGTATGTTTCCCCCTTAACCACCTCGTACCTTGGGACACACAGCCAACTGAGGAACATTTGGGGGGGACCTGTCAGTTTGGACAACATTAAAAAGTGGTTCAAATCCAAGTGGTTAAGGTAGGTGTTGAATTTTGGCTATGCTGATAAGAGACCCTGCTGTCTCAGTTTCACTGTATTTTCTGTTAAAAGAGAGCAATTATGTATTGTTATCTATGGGTAGAAAAACTAATTGCAAGTAACTCAGAATATAACAAAATAGTGCAGCAGATAGAACAGAAAGGAAATCCTTTGCCTCATTCATGACAAAGCTCTCTACATGTGCAAGAAGAGTCATTCAAATAAGGCAGCACTACAGACACTTCCTTATTCCATGGAATTTTACTGTTCATGCATCTAAATAAGGGTATCTTTTCTGTCACTCTGTAACTCTGAACACATGAGTAAATGTGCTGGTGGATTTTGGTGACTTATGCTCTGAAGCTTTGGCAGTTAGATATTCATCCTCAAGTTATTGTTCTTGACCAAAACGCACTTAAAAATGTACTTGCTGTTCACCAAAACTGCCTGACTTATAGCTATGCATGATCAATACCTGACACTGCAGCTCCCATTCCTCCTTGCACTTTTCACACAGCAGTAGCTCCCCTGCCTCATTCCCTGCCCTGTTGCCACTGTAGCTGAGGAGAGGCAGGGCACCATGGAGACACGATGGGAGCCAGCTCACATACCAAGACTTGTGTTAAAATGCCAGTATTATATCTAATGGATTAACAGGCTGGTTTCCCACCATGCAGCCCATCCCTCTGAACTCTCTCCAGCCCATGTCTCTTCACTGCTACTTGGTTACCTCACACAGAAGTTTATTCTGGGAGACCACTATAACATGAGATAAAGAGCCCTAAGGTATTTCAGGGTTCCAAAGCCACTAAACACAGACAAGGGTCATATACAATTGGCTTGTGTCATATAGAGTTTTGCTCCAAGTAAGCTTATCACACCATCATCTTTGCCATCTCATAAAATGTCAGAAGACCTGCAGTGGTGTGAGAGAGAACACTCTTTGAGGGCACCTAACACTGGTGACACAAATTTTCATGTGCGACAAGTGGCTGACCCTATGTGTTCCTGCAAACAGAATGCGAAAGGACTGCCACGCAGCAGCTCACCACGAGAGAGGCAATGTTGAAGAGGTGGACAGTGGAGGGGGGTCTTCATCCAGCAACAATTCCACAGGGAATTCAAGCCAGAGCAGTAGCTCACAGCCTACCAGGGATGGAACCCCTCAGCTGCAAACTTCATCTCAAGAGGTCCACCAGCGGGCAGGTATTTACATGATTTACTTGCCTTTCTCTGGAGTCTTCTCCTGGGAGATCACATGGGAAGATGCTTTTGGGGGTTCCCCAAACTAATTTTAGAAAGAGAGTGCAGTTTGTCTCTCCTGATGACCAAGAACATGTAGGGGAAGGCTTTCTTATATTGTTTCAGGTGTTTACTGGGAGGGTGTAACACAAAAGGGATTCACCAAAGGTTCCACTGTCAAAGTCCATGATGGGTAATTTTTGGCCTAGCAGGTGCCACTAAGAATGCCAGAATGAGAAATGCAGATGGGAGGGAGCGTACACATGTGATGTAGGGAGCCTGGACCATAGTGAACCTCTGCTTATTGTTGAATGGGAACAGCAGAATGAAAGCATGCAAAAATCTTAATTATCTTGGAAGGACCATGACAACAATTTATTTGAGGAATTGGTTTGGCTGCTCATCAGCGCATGTGGAGAAGAAACAAATGGAAAATAGCTTCTTATGTCTATATAGCAGTTAGCAAGAGAAAATTAAACATTGCCAATCATTCTGTCAACTAACAGCTGAGCCCTTCTCAAATTATGGATTCTAAAGTGCTTCAGACATATTCACAAGGTAGAACTAGTGGCCTTTACGTTGGAAATGTATGATAAGTAATAAGGATAAGGATAAGCAACTGTTTGGACAGTCACATCCAGAGGGTAGCAGTCAGTGGCTCAGAGTCCTGATGGTGTCCCTTGAGGATCCATACTGGGATCACTGTTATTTAATACCTTCATTAATGACAGACAAAGGGATTGAGTGCACCCTTCGCACAGATTACACTGGGCTGAGTGGTGCAGTTGACACACCTGAAGGATGGAATGCCATCCAGAAGGCGCTGCACAAGCTCATAAAGTGGGCCTATGGGAATTTCATGCAGTTTAACAAGTGCAAGGTGCTGCACCTGGGTCAGGGAATCCCCAGTATCAACACAGGCTGGGGATGAACAGATGGAGAGCAGCCCTGAGGAGAAGGACCTGGGGGTGCAGGTGGATGAGTCTGGACATGGCCCATCCATGGGCACTCCCAGCCCAGAAACCAAACGTGTCCTGGGCTGCATCCAAAGCAGCGTGGGCAGCAGGGGAGGGAGGGGATTCTGTCCTTCTGCTCTGCTCTGGTGAGACCCCACCTGGAACACTGCATCCAGCTCTGGGATACCAGCACAGGAAGGACATCAACTCATTGGAGCAGGTCCAGAGAAGGGATACTCTATTACATATATAGATTTATATATACATATATAGATTACATATGAGGAAAGGCAAAGAGAATTGGGTTTGTTCAACCTGGAGTTTGGTTTGCTGATTGCAACTTTCCAGTACGTGAAGGGAGTTCACAGGATGGAGAGTGACTTTTTACAAGAACATGGAGTGAACAAAGGGGAATGGCTTCAAACCGAAAGAGGGTCTAGGGGTTTAATTGGATATTAGGAAATAATCTGTACTGTGAGGGCAGTGAGGCACTGGGACATGTTGCCCAGAGAAGTTGTAGATGTCCTATTCCTGCAAGTATTCAAGGCTGGGTTGGAAGGGGCTTTGAGCAACCTAACCTAGTAATAGGTGTCCGTGTCCAAACCAGGGACTCTGAAACTAGACAAGCCCTAGGGTCCCTTCCAACTAAACCAACATTCTAAGTTTGCCAGTGGGTCACTGTGAGATCTATCACTGTGGAATCAGGACTTGTAAAGCAAACTAACTCTACATTTCAACAAGTTTGTGGTATTATTGTATAAATTAAAGCAGAGAACTTGAGGGGTTTGACACTTATTTGTTTCCTCTTAGATCATTTTGACCTATCATTAAAGATAATGGGCAGGACTGGGATAAATCTTGCCCTGAATATAAATCACATTGTAAAAATAAAATAACTGCAGCTTTTAATTGTGTCTAGTGTTAGAGGAATCCTCATGTGCATACTCATAACTTGACACAACAGTAATCAGAGTAGCGAACTTAATTGTGATATAATGATCCTGAGCATACCATGCAATAAAGTAAGTTAATTGTGAGTTGTTTAAAAGAATATATTGATTGGGTGCCCAGAAAACCATAATCAAGAGAGAGAGTCACACTTAGATAAGAAAAACAACCTGGCTCTTGGTAAAATGAAGAGATGCACAAATGCAAGGAAACAGTAGCAAATGGAATCTGTATTCACTCCTGAGATACTGCAAAGAATGAAGGAGAATTTTTTGGCCATTAGGGGCAAAAAGATAAAAGTGGGCTTGTGGCTGTTTATTTTTAAAGAGTGTTTAAAATCAAAATAAATCCTAGCAGTGGTCTTGATCTATCACTATAGAAAGGCAGAGTTGCCAATATGCAATGTGTAGAAATGAGAAATGTCTGGTTTATATTGGGAAAAAACACAGATAATCTATTTCTATGATCTGATCATGAAACATCCTAACAGCTACTGAAAAACATGAAAGAGCAGCTATCAAAGCTATATGTTTAATTGAGCAAAGCCAAGTTACTCATTCAAGAAGGGTGTTAAGAGAGCTGGTTAAAAAAACAAGTTCTGCTCAATCTTCAAGAAGTACCAGGACATTAAGGCAATACCACAGCACTGGAAAAGAACTTATGCTATGCCTGTTAAAAATTGTAATATTGTTGTCCTGCCACATACAGTCCTAATGCCCTAACTGAAGGACATTTTTAGTTTGCAAGCACTTCAAAGAAGAGCCAAAAAAGGATCAGAACTCTGGGAAATACATCCTGTATTGAAAGAGAAAGCACTTTCAAGCAATTGGTACTGTAAGAGATGCCTTGATCATAGTCTGTAAGTATTTACCAGAGCAATGAAAGGTGACCAAAAGCCATTGGTGTGAGAAGACTTGGATGTAACAAAATCAAAAAATTTCAGATTTGAAATCAAGAGCACATTTTTAATATTGAGAAAGTAACTAAATAGTGAAACAAGAGACTAAGAGCTAAGGTGGATTTCCCATGACTGGAGATGCTGAATGCATTTTTAAAAATCACAGTAGCAATTAATAAAACCACACAGGAATTAATTCTGGTAAGTTCTATGGCCCATGCTATATAGGACACCAGACTATAATCATAATAATCATAGCAATGCCTTCTGGATTCATAATCTATGCATCAAGTGCATTTAACTTCTTCATATTTCGTATTGCGTTTTTCAGCCTGGTACCACTGAGTCCGCAAAATGCAATGAAAGCCCCGTATAAAAGTGCAGTCAAGATCAGGAGCACTGGAAACATGTGGGGCTCTCCCCCAGAGTGTCCTTATTTCATGCTGCAGTTTACAGAACAGCTTTTGTTTTTCTAAGTGTTTTCAGGGACGGAGTTTTTTTAGGCGTAGATGCGGGTGGTCTCCTGCCCAATGCTCCAACCACTGCATTTGGGATGAATATAGAATACTTTTGGACAGGGGTCAGCTGCCTAATTTAAATCACAGATGTTTGGCCACATTAGCCATAATGCAAACTAACACACCACAGCCCCTCTGTTCTTAATCCCAGTCCTTTCTTTTTATTTAAGAAAGGTAACCTGTTGAAATAGCCATCAGATGTAGAAACCAAAGCACTTAAGCAGAACCCCAGGGTCTGAAGGACCTGAATCCCTGCGGAGGCCAGACGTACACACAGCCATGGATACGGCAGCCAGGCCTGGCGCCCGTCACAGCACGTGAAGCACAGAGGACACTGGCAGAGCGGTACACAGGGGCCATGGAGTCACAGCATATCCTGAGCTGGAGGGGACCTACAGGGACCATCAAAGTCCAACTCCTGGCTCTGCAAGGACCACCCCAAGAATCACATCCTGTGCCTGAGACCGTTGTCTGGGAGCTTCCAAGAGCCACATGTGTCTGTCCCATCATTCTCCAGCAGAGATCTTGGGGCTACTATTACTTAGGAAAATTATTTTTTTATTGTTTGGAGTATAAAAGTAGAGCTAAAGATACATTGTAAATGAGGTGTGAAAGTGTCCAGTGCTTGCCAAACCAACTAGGTTTCAGTGAATTCCAGTTAGGTTGTAGCCCAGCTCTGCTCATCTGACTCTGTGTCAAGTTACCTAAATTCTCTTTGCTTCAGCATTTGAAAAATGGGGATAATGATACCAGCCTCTGAAAAACAGGTCTGGGGATGTAAAACAGCATGTTTCAGCTATATAATGTAAATGGCTTGGACATGAAATTGTGCACTGCTGGAACCTGAATGAATTCAAGAGTCATGTTTTTAGAAGATAGTGTGAGATTTATATTTCTTTATGCCAGCAAAATTTCAGTATTTAGAGGAGCTCGGGTATTGGGGAAAACCAAAGCAAAAAAATAAAAAAAAATACCAACAGCCTGGAAATGCCTGCCAGAAAAACTTGTTTCTGTGTTGATGGGTCTCAACAGATTTCCTGGCATCAACTCCCCACCCTACAGCTATAGCTAGGAAACCAAAATGCCAGCTTAATGTTAATGTTTGGAGTTTCCTGGAGAGCAAAAAAACCAAGCAGGCACTCTTGTGACTGGGTATTTCCTGTGTAAGCCTGGGTTAGAGCCTGTCTACAGAAACAGTGAGCTCTGCTGGGGCCTGTAGCACACACCAACCCATGGCAGAATGCCTGGGTACAAGCAGGCCTCTGATGGGTTCACTGGCCAGTATTTTCTGATTTATTTTTCATACTATGGCTATTTAAATGCACATGCATAAGAAATACAGAAAATTTTTGCTTGAGTGACAGAAGGTGTTGATATAAATATTAAATATGGGGATCTGTTTGTACAGGAAGGATTTGTCTAGGCATGTCAGAATAGCTTATCTAATCTAGTTTCTGTATCCAGTAGTGGCTGCATTGAGATGCTTCTCAGAAAGGGACAAGAGCCTTATGTGAGTCTCATTCAGACCTCCAACAGCATATCCTACCTAAAAGCAATCACATATTTTCAAGTCTGTGATGTACTGTAAATGTCTCTCTTGGAACTCAGAGTTTACTGATAGTCTTAAAAACTGTTTTGTGGCTGTATTCATCCACTTCAGAACACTGTATTCTTCCACTTGGCTGAATTTTCAAATTCTCTCTCCTAATATGCAGGAATAATTCTTTTAAATATGCCATTGTTTTAACTTATAGGTTTTTGGTTTTATTGTTGCATTTAACTATACCAAGCAATTTAAGGTGGATATTCAACATTCCCTTAGTGTGGATGTCAAAGAGAAGCAGAGTTACAGCAACACTACGCTCAGTCATTCACTGGGCTGATTAAACTGTACATAGCAGAACAGCTTTGAGCCTGTGATTAGACTGCTTTGCTTGGGGTCTCTTCTCATTTCCCTGTCTTTTGCCTCAGTGCACAACCTCTAGAGCTATTTTGACCAAAACTCAGAACACCTGTAGTAGAAAACACAGAAAGAAACCTAGGCTTAGTAGTTCATTACTTTTGCTATTCTTGGAGTTCTTATGCTAATAAAACCAGTGGTAATATGCCAACAGTAATATGTAGACATGGGACACTGTCCATAGCATGGAGTTCATCAGAATGCCACTTACTTAAATATATTAATCTTTCTTTTGAAGGCAGGAGAAAACCCAGGAGTCAGTCTGTCCAGGCACACACTGCTTTAAACCAAAGGCCCCCTGCTTCAAGTCACTCTGGACCAATTGTAGAAAGCTGCCAGCCTTTCATCCAAACATCTACATCTGCCCACGAAATTGCCCAAAGGCTTTCTAGTAGTCAGCTATCATTCCACAACTCGGCAACATCTGTGTTTTCTCAGTCCCCTGCTGTTCCTGTTGCTGGCCAGCTGACTGTGCAGGACCGAGCTGCAGCGATGCTCAGGTCCAGCCTGGCCTCCTCCACCAGCTCAACTCTCAGCCTGTTGTTCGGCAAGAGAAGTTTTTCAAGTGCTTTGGTGATTTCTGGGCTCTCGGCTGCCGACGGAGGCAACACGAGTGACACGCAGTCATCCAGCAGCATGAACATCGCCATGGGGCCGTCTGCCAGAGCAGCAAGCCAGGCAGCTCGGGTAAGGCTGGAGCTAAACCAGCAGTACTGAGAGTGTCAGGCCCTGTCTACTTCTTAACTGTCCTCACCACCACTGGGTGATTTCCTTCTCAGTGGTCAGAAATTTTTTTCCAGAACAGTGTTGGGATTTTGTTGTTTTGGTTTTTCTTATTTTGCTGCATCACAATGAGGTTGTTTAGTATTAGTGTGTTTGTGAGAGTGTTTGTGAGTAACTGATGGGGGAGCTGTTATGCACACACCTGAAATTGCAAACTGGGGCAAAGTCGCTTTTCCTTTTCTTTCAAAACAGGGACTTAAGTCTCCATTTTCTGCAGCCCAGGAGATGAGTACCTTCATAGCAGACTAAATAGCTCCTTCTTTGCTTGCTTTAAGTTCTATGCAGGACTTAAAATTATTTTATTTGCAGGAAAAGGAACAGTTTCCCCTGAATAGTGCACTTATTCTGTCCCTCTCTCTGACCAGAATGAAATTCAATCTAAGACCTGAAATCTTGTTGCTAAAAGTTAGTCAAAGGAATCTGTACTAAAGGAAACCAGCATGCCCTGTGATTAAACATTTTCTAAGAGCAAAACACTACACTCAAAAAACTTTCAGCCTTCTTCCCAATATAGTCACAGTTTTATTCCTAGCTTCCCTGAAAAATTCAATTCACATTGTAGAGTTACTATTTTATTGTTTACTTAAGTATATTTATTTAACTTTGGTTGCCATCCACTGCTGTCCTGAATTTTGAAAATTGACCTCAGCACCAGAAAGGTGAAACATGTAAAGATGGACTAGAAATAAAAGGTGACTGTAGTTAACCAACATAATTAGACAAATTTTGCATTTGGCCTATCAAAATGGAAACCAATGTGGTGACAGTGAAAGACTGTGGATAGAAGTCCCTAGCACTTTTCTGTTACTGTCCTGAACTGTGTATAACTTCCCTAGTTTCCAAAGAGTTCTCCAAACCTCAAGTTAGAAGAGCTCCTTGGCCTGTGCATATTTTGCTCTCAACCCAAAAATACCATGTGTGGTACAGTTCCCTAGAGTTTCACCATGAACTTCAACAGGAGTCAACCAAATGTTACTCATCTAGGTCCAATGCTGCTTTGTTACTGTAAGAAGTATTAATATTACTACACATACAGCTGAATGTATCCAATGAGAAGGCACAATTCCAACTCCCAGGAGTTCATGGCCTAATTCACAAGAACTCAGCCAGTCTGTGATAATGAGTACTAATGGTAGAATTCACCTTGTCCAACTTTTAGGTAGCTACCTAAATTTGGGCATGAGATCTCAGTAGGTTGTTGTTGTTGAGGCTTCTGTTTTCAATGAAGAGGCCTTCATCCACTTCATCCTTGGAGCTATTAGGAGGAAATTCTCCCCTGGGAGACCTGTATCTCTCTGCCATCCATTGGTAGCCTAAATGACACAGCAAGACCACATGGTGACGTTTAGATGAGGTGAACCCTGGCCAAAGTGACTGCTCGGGGTCCAGGTGCCCGTTTGATTGAAAGTGGTAAAGAGCAAGCCTTTCATTGCAACGCTCACACAGCAAAGTTCTGGAATGCTTTTATCCTAATGGACTCCTTACAGTGGGGCGGCACTGCGCTTAACGTTTTCAGACTGATAATTGCATTCCGGTTTTGATGAAAAGGTTTCTTTGTAAGTTGGATTTAAAATGTGGTGTATAAAGCAAGCTCCAGAGCAACCTGATTTAACAACTTAGAAGTCAGCCCTGAATGTGGTGTATAAAGCAAGCTCCAGAGCAACCTGATTTAACAACTTAGAAGTCAGCCCTGCTTGAAGCAGCAGTTTGGACTGGATGACCTCCAGAAGTCCTTTTCAATCCAAATTCTTTTACAGTTCTCTATACATGTACATCTGTGGTACTAAACCTCCAGCTCCTGGTCTGCTTTTCCTTCCAAATTTATGCGTTACACAAAGTGTGACAAGTACCTCTTCAGAACTCCCTTGTGAATAATGCATGTTTAAGAATCCCATGGAGTTTCACAGAATGACATCCCTACGTCAATTTTTAAACTTTTTTCACCTGTCACTTCAAAAAATAGCTGAAGTGTTACTTCGAAGTTTCCTAAACTAGTTGACTTTTTCTTTCTTACTTTCCAGCAAGCCGCTGAGACCTGTGAAGCAACAGATGCTACGGAACCAAGACCCCAGCGGGAGGCGGGTCCAGCCCATGCACTATTCATGAGTCGGAACCTGGAGTGCAGAAGGGCCAGCCAAGAAGATATGGCCCTGGAAGACACCGCTTCCCAGCAAAGCCTGTCTGAGGAGCAGTGAGGAGCATTCCCAGCACAAGGGCCACGCGCTTCTTAGCATTAAATACAGACAGAGTTAGGTCAGGAAGCCGCACATGGGTTTAGGTTCTTTCAAATGTAATAAGCAACCTTCAAATGTTTATTTTTCTAATTTCTACACAAGAATATTACAGGGCGGATGTTCTTCAGCTAATGGCCTTGGCATGGTTTGGGTTGGAAGATATCCTAAAAAACACACAGTGCCACTTCATCTCAGGTTCTTGTAAATCCTAGAACAATGAATACAACCTGTTTAATGTTCCTTCCCCTGGAATGGTCAGAATCACAAACGAATACAGTAGGAAATGTTAATACAACTCAGTGAAAAGCACACAAAAGACATCTCTTTCTGCCATAACTAAAGAGCTGATTGCATGCAAACTAACTGAAATTTGGTATATAACATATAGCAAAAGGCAACTAAGAACAGAAGCAATGAATACATAAAAGGACAGTACAGTGTCTGTAACATTAGAGCTAAATCTGATTATTTTTTCCAACAGCAAATCTTTTTTTTGACGTGCTATGCAGGTGCTAATGCTGAATAGCAACACAGCATCTCAGACTGATATACTGCATGCAGCCATACTGAAATACTGTGTGAACAAGCCACGCTACACCAATTAACAAAAGCCAAGCGTAAGAAAAGAAAGTATCCAGTGCATGGGAAGTCTTCAAAGCATATGGTGCACCTTATTTGCAAAGCAGCTTTGCATAAATTAGGTATTATCTCGTGCTCCTGTTTGGTTTACAGCAGTGCTTCTCAAATTCTAAGCAAGAGTACCCTTAGGAGTCGAAAAAGGGCCATGGGGAATCCTCCTCAAGGACAGAGAAGTGCAAAGCAGGCTGTAATTACTGTCTGGAAGTGTTTGTGTTAGGAAGGGAACAGCTAAATACCTTTAATTGCTGGACACAGCTCACTGTCCATAAACACTTTTAGCCAGTAATTACAAAGCCCTCTGATTTCCCTCCCCCAGAGAAAACTGAGCTGCTGCCAATGGACAGATGATACAAAAAGGGAGGCCATGCCTTCACAAGGTTTGAGAAACGCTGATTTACAGGAATGCATGACTACTTTGAAACCCAAAAGGCTACAGCAAATCCTTCCTCTATAGTAGAGTCTAAACAAACACGCGTGTGGTTTTTTTTCAATTAAAAAAATTGCAGCTATCAGTGTCTTGCTGTTCCTCTTTACTGTAACTACCATGGATTGTTTCTAAATCTCAACACAATGATGTGCAGCCAGGCTGTCTTGTCCCAATTAACAAGATTTAACAAAAGATGCTGTAGCTAAGTCTCATTACTGTTAGGCAATACTCAGTTGCATTCTGAGCTTCCTACTGTGCCACACTTCAGATCTGAATAGTAGAACTAAGTAAGACTGAGTGAAAATAAAATGATCCAAGTATGTTTTGTGGGTCTTCTATTTGCAATTGTTTTCACTTGCTTTCTGTCTTATAAAATTAAGAAACCTATTCCTTTTTAGTCCACTTCAGATCTTTATGATTTGATTATCAATAAAGCTTAGCATAACCAAGGAGAAATTCTGCTCATGTTCACAAAGACAAAAGCAGAGTATTCATCTACAGCCCTCTAGACAGATGATCATCAGCGCAGTTCAGGCCCTCCTAATGTCTCCTCTAGCATCCAGGTGAGATGTGGAAGAGGAAATTGAATTCAGCTGCTCCCTTCCGACCAGTTCTGGCAGATGATGACTCTTGTCCCACCACACTGTTCATGGTTCACATGTTCACTGTTCAAGTGCTTCATTATGAAGCACTTCAAAGCATCCTTCAAATGAAGGATGGAGGTTTTACAGTTAAGACTCCAACTAACAGCCACCAGCCCCTTTTCTGCTTTGGGGGCTTTTGCATGACAGTCCACAGGGTAAACCATAACTGCTTTGTCTTCCTGCATGGAGGCAGGGCATACAGGTGGCTCGGGAAAGCACCAAGAATTTTCCCATATTCACCTAGAATCAATTAGGCCTCCAATTTTCACATCTTTAAGTTTGAATCAATTTCCATCGAAAATAAGTAATTCTAGTAGTCCAAAACAACCTAAATTATTCTGTGTATCCAATTCAAGCATACTAAACCAGACTGGGGAATGACTGCACAAATGCCTTCAGCAGCAAGGTGTATTTGCTTAGGTTGTGCCATGCAGTCCAGACTCCTGCTGCACAGGGTGGCTGCTGGAAAGGGCAGGTTCTAACGCCTTTGTGGAGTCACAGCAAGCAAGCACGGCAAAACAGGAATCAAGGCAAGATTCAAAAATTGGTTCTTTTTTTGTAGCCATATCTTACCCAGTTTTTATTTTACCTTGAAGTTGCTATTGTAGCACAGTGGGCTGAAAAAACCCAAGAGTGACCACAAACAAGCGTAACGCAGAAAAAAAAATAATAAAAATGACCACAAACTCTCCCATGTTACATTCCTCCGTTATTTTGGAGATAGTCTGATGTTATAGCAATAAGACTACTGCTATATGTAGCAGTTTTATATATGAGCCAATCCTACAGAATAATCTGACATAATGGTTAGAAATGAAACCTGCAACTAGGCATGAGGTTGTATCAATTAAACACATCTTAGCCTTCCCCCATTTCTGCATAAGGTAGAGATACACCCAGTTAACTCTGCTTGTGAAGGTGCATTTAGGGCTCCAATGCACACCAAGCTAATAAATAGGAAACTCATCTTTACACAAGGCCTAATTTGAACAGTAAGTTGCTCCAAAAAGCTCTGCAGAACACCAAAAGGCACATGAGCCCTCCACACCAGTGCCTACATGCACATGAAGGCTTTGAGTCATACCTTTAATTCCTGAAAAACAGCTTGATACTTAACCTCACACAGGTGCCTCAGTTGCAAGATGGAAGTATGCTGCTTTTGGGGCAGGTTTTGGCCTTTAAATTAAAAGAAAATGTGATTTTCATTGCTATTATGTCATCTGTGATCCTGTTGATGGGTTTCACAATGCCCAACACTGTCAAAACTTGGCCCTAAAGTTGCTCAGGCTTAACAGTTTGCCTGCATGTCTGATCTCTTGCTACAGCTGTGATGCAGGAAGGATGGCACCACCACCATGTAAGGACCTTTTATCAAGAGTTCCATCAGGGTTTTTTGCATCAGGTGCTATGCTTGATTTCTCAGCTTATGCTAAGCTGCGAAGGCCACTTACTTATTCAGCCAGTCCAGAATGTTTTTGTCTTTACAACATGAAAATAGTGATGTTCCCATCTTGTTAGCAAGCTGAATGCATCCTTTGAGGAAATCAAGTTCTCAATCTACAAGATCATTTGTACATGCAGTTCTTTCATAGAAAAGTCAGAAGGGATGAAGAGATAGAGGCCTTCTCTGCCTCCCCCTGGCTTAACCTCAGATAACATCACCACTGCTGAAAAGAAACACTAGGAGTGATTTTATCCACACTGTCTCAGCAACCAGAGAGGAATTCGAACAATACAGCAGGATACAGGAGAGAGGATAATATGGTAAACACAAACACAGTACTTCAGCCTTTGCACTGAGCATGGGATACTTACCCCCCTCACTTTTTGTTTTCCTAAAGTTTCCTTTCCCAAATAGGCTCTTGTTTATATCCTATAGTAAAAGCCAGTTGCTACACTTGTAATGGTGAACCATGGCCTGGAGATCTGGCAAAAAGAGTTTCAGTAACTTTTTACTAAAGCCAAGTACAGGCTGCTGAACTGCTCCCATCCACCAGGAACACTGGCAAGCCCCAGCCTGGCCTTCAACCCGGCACAGCAAACAAGTAGGAACCAGTGATGGACATAGTCTGCAAAGTTCATTCCTGTTCATCCAAAAATAAAAACCAGAGGTGCTGGCTGTTCCCTCCATTTTGTAGTGTCATGCAACTTATCTGTGAGAACCTGAAGTTCTTTTTGCAAAGTCTCACCTCATTCCCATAGGCAGAAAACCTTGGCACTCACTTCACTGAAGACAAATCTCAATGAAAATGACTTATCCATGTTAATCTTTTTCCCTTGACATGATGACCAGATAGTCTCAATGTCTATGAATGATGTGCTGATACTATTAAGTTCTTAGGACTCTGTGATGTCATTCACAGCTTTTTATAAAAACTGTTTATTAGAATAAGGCAAGAAAAGTCATCTGCATTTGTCTCCAGCCCACCAACTGATGGCTTTTCTCTTACTAGAAAATTTAAGTTAAAGATTAGCTGAATTTTGTGCAGCTCATTATAGAAGATTAGAATTACCAGTGAGATTCTCCAGCATGTAATAATCATCTTCTCTCCAATGCATTTTTTTAAAACACCCAATTATTGCCATATTCAGATTAGTCCCTGGATTAGGAGCTGGTATTTAATTACCAGGTTTCACCAGTGCTTGTACATCCTTAAATCTGCAACACAGACATATTACTTGTAATTAACTTTGCAGCAGGTCCAGTATGAAAGATTCACCTCTCTCACTCAGTTTTAAGAGTCAAAAATTGCTTAATGCATAATAAATAATGCAGGCCCTGTTTATTCCATGCTGTGTGCAATTTTATGCTGGAATTACAAGACTTGTTGCCAAAAATGTCCTTGATTCTCAGGATTTGAGACAGTAATTGCTACCTCACATTCTCCCCTTTTTTGTACCAATTAAAACCTGCAGGTGCACTAATGTTGTCATCTGGAATCTAGCTGGTACATCGGAGGTGCTTTCCACCAAATGCATTCTATTAATAAAACTGGCCCACCAGGGGAATTGTGAACGCTCCATTTGCTGTTAGAGTGCTCTCAAGGCCTTGCAAGTATTTCACTAGTGCAAGACCAGACAATAAATTTTTACCTTTAAAGTAAACACAGGTTGTCATAAAAACTTACATGCAGTTGGAAATACAACTTTCTCACTCACTCAATGTATGTTGGATGCAGGTAAATCGTATCTTCAGGACCATCTGAGATTTAAAGGCCAGACACGACTGTTAAGGTCATCTACATTCTCCTGCTGAACACAGATCACGGAATCTCTCTTTATTTCTCTTGAAAAGCACTCTAGCTCAGAGAGAAAACAGGCTTAAAAAAAGGACCACTAATTAATGACACTCACCAGTCTTGAGACAGGTAGCAGAAAACAAGAAATACTGATGGCAGTAGCAAAAATATGCATTAGTTTAAAAGGGCTGATATTTCACTCACAGCTCCAGAGAAGGAAAAATCCACCTGCATTTTCTAGTGGCTATCTAACCATGGTACAAAAGGTCTTCCTTGAACCATGAGACAATGGATTAAAAATATTATAAGCACTGATCTAAAGTTCCCCAAACTTATTGTAATTGTTCTGGGATTTTTTTCCCCCACATTCTGCTAAATGATGGTACTACAGTAGGCATCATGGCACTACATGCAGGGTAAAATATCTAATTTTATGAGGAATAAACACCACTTCAAGTGATCTCTCAGCAATACTGGCTGAACCAGAATTTTGAAGACTGACTCCTAACAGAACTACCCTCCTTGGCCTCTACTAGAGAAGTGCCAAATCTCTCCAATTTTTATTTAGCTATAAAGGTCAGTCCTCATTTAAGACTCGACAGTAGTCCCACTAAAACTGTGCTAGATTTTGGGTAGCTCTTTAATCATTGAAGGCTATTCTTTTGCAGCATATTTTACAGCTTAAGAGACTTAACATTGAAACAGGAGGGCACCCAGCACTTAGGTGCAGAGATGTTTCTGTTCAAAAACCTATGGCATACAGCCCTAACAAAGTTTACTTTGGTCCCAAGTCCTCCACATCTAAAAAGGTATTTTGTCTGAGTAGAATGCCTAAAGTAGGGAACTAATCCCAGTTAAGGGATTAGTGTGTCTTTAGGACACAAGCTTATTTTGCAAAAAGCAGCCAGGAGCTGTACATTGTCAAGTGGAAACTCTAAGAGGAGTTTTCCTTTTCCCAAATATGATGAAGACAGTACTACCATCCAAATGGATTTGGGCAGACAGGCAGTCCTAACAAGGCAGTGAGGGAATGAGGCCATGGCATCCTTTAACAGGGCATGCACCTCCTACCACCTGTGGAGGTGCAGTGCTTGTACCAGACACCTGTTCCGCATACAGGAGAGAAAAAGGACATTTTCTTCATGCTCCTAGGAGGTGTTTGCAGGTGTGTGTAAAAATACCTGTCCCCAGCCAGCCCTATACAACTCTGGGTGTCAGTTTTACAGAAATAAATCAATAAAATGATACTTGAAGATGCTTTTATATAGTTTGCTCATTTTAACAGTCATTGAACTGAACAGAAAAAAAAAGTTAAGAAACAACTGAATTTTTAGCAACTTTCTTCAGCCAGAGATGACCGCAGATTTTACAGTGAACAGTGTGCACCTGGGAGGGAATTCTGTTTTCACAACATGCAAAACTGATTAACTGGCAGCACTTTTGCTGAACACATTTGCACTCCTCACAGGGAAGCAGGAGTCTAAAACTCTCAAACACTTCTTACTTCACCATTAATCATGTACAGAATTGAACAAGGAAAAAGACCCAAACAAACAGTAAGTATCAATAAACATAACAGATTGTAAAATTAAAACAGACAAATGCAGTATTAAGTCAATCACAAAAAAACATAAGATTTGATGAACTTCATGGACTGCAAGATTTTTATATCTATTATTTGTAAGGGGGGGTGGGACAGGATTGCCACCAGAAAATTGAAAATTAATTCAAAATGCACTCCTCTTATCAATTAGTGTCTGGACCATGTAAGAGAGGGTAGATTTGGCTATTTTTCCTCCCAAAACTGAAATCTGTAAATATCACTCATGACCACAGGAAGTTTCCATGAAACTCTGGATAACCCATCTCACACTGCAACTGAAGACAGGGGTGCTTAGGGGTAGGAGGAGAGCACATCTGCTTATTCCTTCTAGCTGCTGATTTGTCTGCACCCATGCTGAAGCACACTTGAACACACCTAAGCTGGGTCACCAATAGCTAAATATTCCTACATAAACCAGGCAGGACTCATAGACATTTTGGACAAGGTTCTGCTCTGTTGTATAAGGGCTATGTTGCAGATATTGAATTGACCTGTAGGCAGTACAGTCCAAACACACTCAGAAAGACTAAGATCTCAAACAGATTTCAGTACAGTCCAAACACACTCAGAAAGACTAAGATCTCAAACAGATTTTACAGTTAATTGTTTTCACATGAAGTAACTCAGATCCAAGTTGACCACCTAACTTCCAAATGCCCAGATTAGAACTGGATGTTAGCAACACATCTGTCCAATTTTTTTTAATTCAGTGAACTGAATTAATTACAATCCTCCTATCCCAAAATGCTGTTTCTGTTTTCCTTACTAACCTAGAGAAAGAGAAATTAAAACTGATGTAATTTCATTAATAGCTTCTATACCAGTGTTTACTTCAAAAACAATCAAAGCAAAAATTCCAATGAATTTCTTTTTCAGTACAGGAATGTGGAGTGTCAAACACCTGCCTTCTTCTGCTACTGAGAACACAGTATGCTAAACCCACAAAAGCTGCAATTGAATATTTAGTGATCTTTTGATTTAATTACCCGTGGTATTTTGCAGCATTATTCAGGGCTTGAGTAACTAACAAGAATCACTCAAAGAACCAGCATGTACTTTTGTCATTACTAGAAATCCTTTTCAACTACCAAATTTAACTTTCCTACTATAAAGTGGAGTTCTTATGCCTTCATTACTCGAAAGGGTTGTATTTATTAAGATGACAGACCTAGTCAAAAACATCTGCAAAGAAAAAAATATAACAGTCTTAGCAATATAACTCTGTACTCTGAGAAACCTTATTGCTACAAGAGAGAAACACTGTGGAAAAGAAATAAAACTATTTGAGAAAGCTGGGGTGTTCTGTAGCACACTGAGATATGCCTTTGGCTGACCAGTCCATGGGAATGCTGGGCTTTAAAGTCTAGCATATGTGAATACAGATGACTGTAAACTGCCAAGCAAGTGCTGGTGCTTACTAGTCAGCTCAGCTCCCAGAGACACAGAGCTGGGGGCTCTGTGTCTGTGTAAATTATCCCTTCCTGACGGACTGGGTCCTGATCCAGAGCCCTGTGACCCACAGTGCCATGCATTACTCACTCAAACAAAACCTGGGGAGGTGACTGGGGTTGTAAAGCAGTAACAAGCAACTGTGAAGCATCAGCAAAAGCTTCATTTTAAAAGTCTAAGAAATTTCCCCCACTGTTCAGATCCCTGCAGAGAGGGCAGGAAGAAATCAGACAAAGATACATGAGCTGAAAAAATAACTAAGGGCATTCATACAAAGTAGTTGAAAAGCCGTTTGATGAGGAAAGAGACTCAACACCATGCACAGCATAAAACTCTCTACCAAGGTTCCATTGCACTCCCTATATCTGCATTTAGGATGTGAGCACAAGAGTTTGTATCCCTTCCAGTGCTACAGTCAATAATGAACAAGACAAAGTATTACTACTATTATTGTTGTTATTGTTATTGAATAGCTGACAGTTCTGAGGAATTTGACCCTAGGAGCTTACCACTATTTACAGTCACACACATCAAATCCAAGAGCTGAAAACCAACACTGTAAAACCTAGTGACAGTGCTCTCACCTACCACTGAATTCAAGACAGCAGATCAACATGGGACTAATGAAAAAGTGATGCTGAAAAAGAAAGCGGGGGGAGAGCAATGAAAAGGAAGATCTATCTAAAAATGTCACTGTTTTTATTGAGAATCAGTCCAAGCTCTACAAGATAAACAGAAAACCCCACAAAAACAAAGAGAGCAAGACAACAAAGAATGCTCTTCAGTAAGGCTATTGGGACCCCAAGGTAAACAATACACAGCACAGATGAGCCAAACTCTAAATCTCACAGCAAGTGTACTGATATCCTGACTTTCAGAGGACCTTCTGCACATTTAATAGCTTTTCCCACTGTCTCACAGCCAACAAAAACAATTCTACATTTTATCTATCCTTTTTCCACATGTATATGCCAGCAGTCCAGTGAGAGCAGCAGAGAGAAAGCACCAAGTGCTAGGAAATTTTCACAACTGTTTTACAAAGGCTGTTTGATAGATATAAGTCTCCTCTTAAGATCTGGAGACGTTCTGCACAGGCAGCTTTCCCAGAGAGAACAAATCTCCCAGTATCTGTACTGAATGTACAAACAGATGGGTGTGTTTTGAGAAAGGAGTAGAAAATAACTGTAGATGCTGCTTATATTAAGCATTTATGTAATGGAGGAAATTGCCACCTAGACTCCAAGCAGGCAACTATAGAGGACAAAAGCTTTCTTCCTCTAACTGTTAAAAATATCATCAGGGAAACCACTCATGAATCAATCTGTTCAAAAGGAACCTTTCCTTCTCCCTAACCATTTTCTTTCTTAAGAAAACTATTTTCTTTCTTAACAGGCATATGCAACCGTATTTCACTAATGGGTTTCATGCAAACAAAATTAATAGATGGGAAAATGGGAGAAAATTAGTATCTGCCACCTGCTAAGGAAAACATGATCCTATTCATGTCACCATGTCTGCAAAACCTATGCAGATGTAGGCAGTGCCAAAAAGCCTCTGTAGTTTCACTAGAAAGTTTAGTTCTCAGCAAATGGAACTGGGCAACAACAGAAACAAATGTGTTAAATATCAGAGCTCCTATCGTTAAGTGCCCTAAACATAATAAATTAAACACTGGGGACCAAATGGTGAATTGCTTTTATGGCATCTGGGCCCACTTACGCCAACAAAATATGCTTTCAAGACAGGAGGGTCTGTGAAACACCAAACAGCTGTTCTCTCATCAGAACTGTCCTTGTGACACTCTGAGCAGGATGAAAAAACTGAGACGAGCTATCTGAATGCAGCCTAACTCCACATTAAGTGACAAAGCAGAATGCTTTTGGAAGGTAGCCACCTATTTCTGTACACTTCCAGGCACCATCCAAGTTACTAAGAAATTACTGGCTGTGAGCTATTTGGGCACTCCAGGTTGCCCCATGCCACAGCCCTTGAACACAGCTGGTGACCCAGAATCCACTTCAGCTACTAACACCTCTGATTCCCCACGGGCAGGTTCTACCCCTGCTTATGCACACATTTTAACCAGCTGTGAAAAAGCATGCAGTGTGTCACTGGAGCAAGAAAGACAGATGCTGTCCTGCACAAGACTTCAGCTTAGCAGGTCTGTGACACCCAGAAATTACTGCAGTCTTTCACACGTTTTACATCCACGCTTCTGGTTAATGGATTCACTAGAGATCTCTATTTAATTAAAGACACCTGCATGTCCTAATCTCAGCAGTGTGAACAGGATGGGTCATTGTTTTAGTAAAGATCTTTTAGCTAGAGAACACACTGCTCCATTGAAATTTACAGAAAGACTTTTGCTGGCTGGAGTCAGTACTTGAGAGAAAAAATTATCAGCAGACTGATACAGTTGAAAACCCAAGGCTGAGTAGCCCATGCCCTCTGAATATGACCTGATAAAAAGAGAAGCAGAAGCCTCAAACACTGCCTTGAAAAGCCAAATGCTGCCTTCTAGTCCCATTTCCTCTCATGAGAGGGCCAAATGCACACACCACTGTCCTGCCATGACTGCAGCCTTAAGCACTGAATGACTGATTATTCCAGCAAGGCTTCTCCATCCCCTCTTCCCCAGCCCTGCCCCTGTAAAGCAACTCCTAAAAAATTCACCTCTACATGTATTTCTGTTCAATAGCCTGACTACAAACACACATCAGCTTGGTAGTGGAAAAACCTGGAGGTTTATCTCTGAAAGGAATGGAGTTGAATGCTTATGTAAGGAAAGGAACAATCTCTCATCTTTTCTCCTACTGTTGTTTTAGCATTTAATTAAATCAGCATTTAATTTAAAATCAGAAATTGAAGATGATGATGGGACCCTCAGTTAAAGGAAAGCTGAGGAACTTTCAGCACTGCAGGTTTTTAAGCCAGCTTTGAATAGGAACCAACATAAATCAAAGGAGTGAGAGGTGCCTTTGTTTTTGTGAAGCATCAAGGACAGTTACTGATGGTTACAGAAACCTCACACGTGCACTCCTAGGAACAGGCTGTGTTTTGCTGTGGTTAAGTTTTTGAGAACCACCCTGTAACTGATCAGGAATGTACTTTCAGGCCCTAATAATATGAAAATTATGTGTGTAAAAGTAACATAACGAATTCCAAAATTGGTTCACTGACTCCAGAGAAAGTACACTCCATTTATAACTGTCCTTCTTCTATAAATCATTCCTGCAAACTCCACTGCTGCCTTTTTTCCTTTTATTTGTTCCTTGAATATGACTACTGGTAATATTTCTGCAAGCCAGTCTGGAAAAAAATCAAAAAAGCTTAAAAATCTGACTGTACCTTAAAAGATTTAACTCTTAGGAATAATGAATACCTATACAGCAATAATACTACAGCAAAGAAACCTTTTAAAACAACTATAGCATTACTTCTGCAGCCCCTCAGAAGCAAAGCCAGCTGTGTGAGACTGCTACAGTAAGTGCCAAATGGGATTTTTTTTTAATAAGGTGAACACCTGCCCATTAAGAATAAAATGGAAACTAAAAAACTTATTTAATGCAAGCTACCCACAGATATCAATTGGCAGTAACAGTTTTTAAACAGAGCCAAATATAAACCAGTAACCTAGAACAGAAGGCTCTTTAAGAATATTAAATATTACTCACATTGAACACTCTAACATCTTTCCTACTTCTTATTTCTTCAACAAGATCCAGTGGCTTTCCCTTAGGTATTGGAATAGTTCCAAGCACCACAGTCCCCGAGCCAGCCAGCGTTTGACGAACAGCTTGAATGAAAGCCTGGCTGAAGAGTTCCATTTTACCAATCTCATCTATGACACAAATCCTTTTCTCTGTGTCACCATCCTGATTTACCTGTGGAAAAGTGCATCAAGAGACTGTAAACAGCAAAACTTAGAACCAAGCAACAGAAGTAATCTCTATGCTGACAAAAGAAACACCTCCAAAACAAACAAATTCAACTGTAATACTGGGGAAAGTGGGAAGTCAAAGCTACTGCTGGTAAATAACAGACTTAAAAACCTGTAATTTCTTTTTTAGGACAGATTTTCAGAAGGATGGAAAAAAAACATACAGTATAATACCAACTACAATGGGAAATATCCATAATATCAGATTTCCTTTGAAGCAAAATTCTCACAATGGTCCCACATATGAGCTACTTGACAACTAAGAACTGCACTTTGCCTACGAGCAGCTCTCAACCATTCTGAGGGTCAGCAATTTTTAAAAACTCTACTCTTCCCACTAAATTATGCACTTAGTGATTACATTTAATTATGTGATCAGTAGTCACACAAAACAGGTATCTAAAAAAGGAAGACCTCCATTAAATCTAGATTTAGAAGTTTCTCCTCTTGTAGTTGGGCTGATGGAGCATTTCACTCAGAGCTACTGGCTGTCTTCAAAGCTGTCTGGATAACAACTAGGTCTTCTGCAAGCCTCTCTCACATTAGAATAGATACAAACTGAGATATACCTTATTCTATAGCTCTAGCCACTGGATAGTAGGAGAGACACAGTTAACCACATTTGTTTGTTTTTTTCATGAAGAGAATGCTGTGCCAAACAGTGCTGTGCTGCAGGTGGTTGGAGCAGCAGGGAAGTCCAGGAGAAAACAAGGGTGATTGCCACTGAGGAAAAGGCAGCTCGCAAAGCAGAGGAGCTCTTCAACTGCACTGCCTACCCTATTTTGGCAAAAGTGACTAGGCTGTACTCTATTATTTATAGAAATGAGGAGAAAATCAACTCAATTCAAAACTAATATAAGTCCATGAATATGTACCAATACAAGCCATATTACATGGAAACTGAAGAAAAGAGAAAAAATAGCAAAACATCTCCCCTTGTGAAGGCAAAGTATTTGCTTCTGGAAAAGTGAAAGAACTGTGTAACATGCATCCTAAAATCCTTTCAAGCTAAGTCCCTACTGAGTAGCTGTTTTATCTAAAAATCCTTTCATAGATCAGTGAGCCAAAAAGCCAATACTAGTCACTAGGTCACATATTGAGGAAGAGAGCATTTTGTTTTGAAAAAAAACTGAGAAAACTATCAGTCCTGCCTGATAAAGTTTGCAGAACCACAGAGTTCTTCCACTGCAGGATCTTTCCCATTCTCACTGGAGTGAACAAAGCCTTAAGACCTGAATTTGTCCTCAAGTCTAAATGGGCATGTGCACATTCTGCGCTGCTCTCTCATCAAACCAGAGCATACCTATGACTCTCCTGCCCTCAACCTTCATTTGCCTCTCCTTGTTTCAGTTCTCTGATCTTCCTCACTCTCCTCTTCCCTTTTGGGCCATCTTCATATGTGACCACATTCCCACAAAACAGATAAACAGCATTTCCTATGAGCACAGGCACATGCACTGTGTGACTCTGTTGGGCCCAGCTCTTCTCTTCACCTTCCAGTACTTGCAGAAAGCTATGTGAGTAATGGAAAAAATTCAACACTGTTAACACTTTTCTAGGAAGATCTCTTCTGGGTTTCAGTGGTAAAAGGATTTCAAGCATACCACTGGCCTAATTAAGTATTTTTTTTAATGAGCTATCTATTTGCTAACATCATAAATACGGTTACAGTGAAATTTAACATACAAAAATTGTCCCTGTATTATTTTCCTTCTCCCCTGCCCCAACATCCTTACTTTCCTACTCTCAGACTTCAATGTTCTTTGACAAAAACAAGATCTCATTTTTGCTCCTTGCACCTCTTTGGGATTTTTTGTTTTAAGTTCACAAAAAAATCCCTTCTTCTTGTCCCCTTGAGCTTTGGCAGTGTAGAAAAATCACAACAGGATTTTTTAGTAGTACAGTTCAGCAGCTGCTGCACACTGTTTTTTGTATGTTATTGCCAAAATCAAATCTGTTCTTGTTTAATTTTGGAGAGGGGAAAGGTTGGAGTGAGAGAGAGGAAGGAGAAGAGAGAAAGCAGTGACAGAATATTAGCAAAAGGATTGTGTGGGAAGTCTTGTCACAGCCAGAGCACTCCCTGTGCAGCAGGCTAAATCCCAAATAATCAGGCTGGTATTATCAGTCTGCAGGTATTTATACAATGGTAATCAAAAAATACTCACTGGATTCAAGAAACAAATACTTCAACTGTAAGAAGACAGGAATCAGAGGAAGAGGGGAAAGAAAGTCTGTAAAGAGGAGCAGCAGCAAAATCCTTTTTCTTAGACCCACTGATTCCATCCAGTTCTCTGTGGTAAGCCACTTTGTGTATTTCCAGTATGAGATGGTGACATAGGAAGAAATGTTTTCTACCTGCTGCCTCTTCAGGTCAAGGAGGTCCTGTTCACAGGACTACAAGCTCTCCAACACCATAATAATGACAAGAGAACAAGCCAGATTTGCCCCTCCAGCTTCCTGACCCCGAAGTCAATCAGAACTAGCAATACCCAAGAAACAGGCCATTAATTACTATCAAAAACTAAGCTCTGTAGAAGGGCCTTCAAATAACACTGAAGCATACATTTATCAGCAGCTTTCATAGAATACTCACATTTCTCAGCATAGGTAGAACCAACTGCTCAAATGAGACAAGGTCTACAACATATTGTCCAACCCGGTATTCACGTCTTGAAGCAGAAGAACCAGAACTGGGACTGAAAAAGAGATAATTAATTCCTTCAAAGTAATGAGTTTAGTGAGAATTCATTGCAGGCATTTCAAGTGAGTTTATAAGAAGTTATCCAAATAAATCAAATCCCCTTAACTCCTTAAAAAGGGAAAGAAATTCTAAACCACGCAGTAAGTCATACTGCAGATAGCTTGTTATCAGATAATAAATATGCATCCTTCACAACTATGCAAGCTCAAATTTCAACAGTGTATTGAAGGACAATGGCATTTAAAAGTCAGCAGGCATATTTACACTGAAATCTAAACTCTTGTCTGCAGTTCAGATCTTTGAATTTTGTAATGTGACACTACAGACAGCATCATAGCAGTATCATCTCAGTATGGGCTACAAAACCCTTAATCTTGGAAAAATACTCACTTTGCATGTGCTGTACCACAGTGTGCTAGCTGCTCTTCCATTAGAAGAGTAAAAATTATTTTAACATCAGCTCTGTGTGAATGAAGTGCTAAGGTCACGCTGGACATAAACAAAGTTTTGCACTAAGTATGAAAATCTAAGTCTAGTGAATTGGGCGCAACTGTGAGGCATTCTGCACTTCAGAGGCCCCCCCTCTGGGGCTCTGAAACACTTTTTTTCTTAAAATTCACAGGTGAGCTTTGCACACCAGACAAATGTTCTTTAAAACAATCCTATATGCAATTTCCCTTTTCATTTTCCACTTCTGTTTCCATAAATCGGCTAGTGGAAACACAAATCTTCCTCCCTGCCCACAATAAGCTACTTAGCTGCATCCCAAAGGGACTTGGCCTCACAGTAAAAGGCTCAGCAGTGCCTTCTCTATCTGGTATAAAATAGCCAGCAAGACAAAACACCCCTGCCGAGCACATTTTCAATACTTCACTGTGCAACAGAGACACTGCCTACATATACTATACAGATATCAGCCAGGACACAAAAATCAAGCAAAGAACTTGACCATGAAAGCCATGTGTGCTGGAAATCACCTTCTGGAGGAGCATTTAGTATGCCAAAGGATTGGAACAGACACATAAAACAATAAGCTGCTTACAGTTATTAAAACTTTAGTACCTGACTCTAGATAAAGGTCCTCGGTTTCCAGACAGAGTGACAACATCAAATCCTGTTCTCCTGCCACCTTCTCTAACTTCCTGTGTGTAAAATCCATCAATGGGAACACCTGAGGATTTTAGAGCTTGAGTGACTTTCTGGATCAAAGTAGTCTTTCCAACCCCTAAAAATAAAGAAGGGAAAAAAAAGCACACAGCATTAATCTTCTTCTGCACTAAAAGCCCATTTTTTTAAAAGCTGCAGTAATGATTCAGTTCAGCAGGAACATTGATTACTTTTGAAGGTTGCAAATTACTTTTTCTACATGGTAGGAAAGAACAGAAGCATCTTTTAAAGTTCATCCTGTACTGACACTATAAAGTTTCTCAACAGAATGGTACAAATATCCCAGGCTACCAATGAATTTGCTAGCTTAGATGATGCATGAGCAGGCCACAAAACTTACCACAACGCAAAGTGATACAAAACTGATATCCAAGCTTGCCGGAAGACTGACTGATGAATCTCCCTTTCTACCACTGATACTCAGTACTTTTTAGGTCAGAGCTAAATTCACCCTTTTAGGTCAAAGTTCACTGCTATTACCAGATGCCTAACTGGCACAAATGACACACTTCTTACACTGATGTCCTAGAAATCAGAATGACACTCAATGTTCCTCAGATACCAAGTCCTTATAAAGTTCCAACAACTGAAAAATGTTTCTTCTCATAACTGAATCAAGAGACATTTTGTCTAGCTACAGAGAAAAGCTTGTTTATTATGAGGCCAGTGAAGCCATGTATCAGGTGGCCCAGAGGGGCTGTACAATCTTCACATACTTTAATGTCTTCAAGACATGACTGGATAAAGCCTTAAGCAACCTGCTCTGGCCTCATAGCTGATACTCCTTTAAACCTCAAGCCCATTTGTACATGAATTATCTTCTGACTCTATAATTAATTTTCTTACTCTAAGACAGGTCCTTAAAACCCTCACCACCTGATATTTCCTCACAGTCTGATGCACCTTTTACAATGTGAACACTGGCCATGTTCCAGACATCCTTTCAGTTTCCCCCCTGTGCCACTGTACAAGTATATCTCTCAGCAATCTCCTTTATTGCTTCTCACAAAATTTAGTGCTATCACTTCATTTTTAATCACTGCTCTAAAAGATTCAGACAATAGAAAATAATCCTGCAGAATAAAACTTCAAATTCCTGGAGATGAGGGACACAGACCAAATGTGAGATGCCTAAAGATGCCCATGGAAATAATTTCAACATGCACACACCAAACTTCTAATGTAGACTTTAAGCAGATTTAGGAACTGCTTTCCTAATAGTCAATACTAATGACAAAATATTCTGTAGCTTCAAAAGCATTTAGTCAAATGCTTAAACAAACTTTCCAAATTTGAAGAAGGGGGCTTCCTGGAAGTTGAATAACAAAAAAGTGACAAATGTGGCACCTTCAGTATCTAACATCTTTTCAAGGCCTTGTAGCCTGTAAGTGAATTTATACTACTTTTGCTAAATGGATTTGCTATCTCTGTTTACATTCATGCAGTAAACTGCCAAACAAGCTAGAGTAATTCAAGCTAAGTTTAAGAAAGCTTGAAGTTAGACATTTAGCTCATCAAAACAGTACATCAAATTTCAGATAAATGAAGAAAGACAAGACCTAAGCAGTCCTAACCTCTGCATCTCCTAAAAGGTCGCCTTTATTCAAGTGGATGGAAAACCACTGTAAAGTGGGTGGAATGTATTCCTATCTCAGCTTAACAGCAGCATTTAAAATTAATTCCAGTCAAGACAGGCATCTGCAAGGGGTTCACAAAAAGGAGAATTAGGCCCACTGCTTTACTCTCACACCACAAAGGAAAGCTATGCAATCACAATAACTGGGTAATGTCTTTATCAACCGCAGAGCCTGACCCTCATACTATGTCCCACTCAGCCTCCACAATAATCAGATTCCCTTACGATGACAAATTACTCCACTGCTTCAATCAAGGCCTGCCCATCCAGTTATTACCTACACCTGCACTTCACTGAGGCTGGAAGTGCTAAATCACTACAATTAAGTTACGGGAAAGATGAGCCCTAAGAAATTATTTATCGCTGCAGTTTATATTGTAGCAGGATTAGTTGTCCAAGAAGTGTTTGGTATTTTTTTTCCCCCAACACTGAAGTCCAGGGCAGAAGCACCTGGAAAAGTTCATGCTTTGGAGGACTGGATGGAGAGGCAAAGTGGCATTTCACCTGGAACAAACAAACTAAGCAGTGCAACAGCTCTGACCTCGATACGAGGGGGAGAAGCTCCGCGATCTCAGCCACGGAATCTCGGACAGTGCCGGGCCCAGCTGCAGCTGGACGCGCTCCCGGGGCTTCCTCTGAGCCCGGGGCCCGGCAGCAGCTGCCTTCCTCCGGCTCTAAGCGCCTCACGGGCCGGGCCGGGCCGGGCCGGGCCGGGCCAGGCTAGGCTAGGCTAGGCCGGGCCAGGCTAGGCTAGGCCAGGCCAGGCCAGGCTAGGCCAGGCCGTATCTCAGGGCATCCCCTCGGCCGCGCCACCGCCCCTGCCCGCCTCCCCGGCCTCCTCCCGCCCCCATTACCTGGGGGTCCCGTGAGAAACACGTGCTTGGACATGACGGAGCCGCGCTCCGCCCCCGGCCTCGACTCCGCCCCCGGCCCGGCCCCGACCCCGCTCCTGCTCCGGCCCGNGCTCCTGCTCCCGCTCCGCCCCCGGCCTGGCCCGGCCCCGCTCCCGCTCCTTCCCGAGGCCTCGGGCGCGGCGGGCCCTGCCCGGCCTGAGGCCGCCTCGGAGGCGGGGCCAGGCGGAGACTGCTGCCGTGGTGTTTACCAGAGGGTGGACCCGTCTTAAGGTTAGGGAAGAGGGATGAAAAGCGATTGGTTTCCTAGTTGAGGGCCAGCGTCTTTTTTATCCAGTTAGCTTAACCTGTCATATGTCTGAGTATGTTAATACAATAACAGAATGTTAAAGTGTGGGAATAGAGCTTAAAGATCAGTCCCAAGCCTGCGACAGGGACACCTCCCACTAGACCAGGTTGCTCAAGGGCTCATCCAGCCTGGCCCTGAACACTGCCAGAGCTGGGACATCCACAGCCATCCTGGGCAACCTGTTCCAGTGACTCACCACCCTCACAGTGAAACAATTCTTTCTAATATCAAACCTAAACTTCCCCTTGTTCAGTTGATACCTATTACTCCTTGTCCCATCACTATGTTCCTGGAAAGTCCCTCTCTGGCATCGCTGTATCCCCCTTCAGATCCTGGAAGGTTGCTGAAGGTCTCCACACAAACTTCTCCAAGCTGAGCAGACACAACTTTTTCAGCCTGCCTTGACAGGGAAGGTGCTCCAGTCACTTTACTAACTTGGAGGCCTCTTCTGGACTTTCTCCAACAGTTCTATGTTCTTCTTATGGTGGGGACACCAGAACTGTACACAGTTCTCCAGATGGGGTCTACAAATGCAGAGATATAATAATAAACTCTCCCTAGAGCTTTTTACCTGTTTCAAGTAAGCAATGTATTCCAGGGTGTAGCAAACAAGCAAATTAAAAGATGAATGGTTTGTCTGATACCTCGATGCAGAAAGCAAATGCAACTAGGGGGGTTGATATACAACCAGGGAATTGTTAAAAACCTAAGCAAATTGAGAAAGGTTTGGCAGATTTAACAAATATGCTGATAGACATCTGCATCCCAAAATGCCATATGCATGTGGCCTCCTTATTTGTTTAGACTTTCCTGATGGGGAGCAGTAAGGGAGCAGGGAAAAGGATTTTTGTGTTGAGGACTGTGATACACAGGCTTCTGTCAGGGTAAAGTGACGCCTGGACACCAAGAAATACTGATTCCTGCCTGGCCATAAGCACCTAAATGGTTACCCAAAAATACTGGGCTATGGAAGGGATACATTCCAATTTCTGTTTGCCTCACTAGAACGGATCACTTCAGCCCATCTTTGTCAGGCTTTCATTTTCAGTAATTTCTCAAGGAGTTAAAGGTTATTTGTCATTTTCATAAAGATAATGAGTATCCTTGTCAGCCAGATGAAATGTGCACATCAGCAGGTACTTCAAGAGTGCACTTCACAGTAGGTGGGTATTTCCATAAATTGAGTAAAATATTTTTGATGTTTACATCACACATGGTCACTCTTCATTGTATTCTTTTATATCTTAGAAGGAATGACTACACGTGGAACATGTTTTATATTTAAATACTTAATTAAAAAAAAACTTGACAGCTCTGGCATGACTCTTGGAAGGTTGGAGGGTCAAGAAGTAACAAAGACAGTTTCCCTTGTCATCTGAAATGAAAACTGCATTTTCATAGTTTACAGTCCAGTACTTTGTTCTGGTGGCTTTTTAGGATCAGTGGAATTGTGATGTTTACTTACAGCTTCTTGTGGGTGTTTGTCAGGCATCCTTAATATAAAGAGAGAACTGCAGAGAAGAACTGCATATTTGAATGGACTATTAACACAAGAACAACACTTGACAACTGGCCACTTCACCCTTGCCCTGAACTTCCTGTGCAGAGCTTACCATGATTGATTTTACAGGTAGGCTTTGTGTATAATTTTAAACTAAACCAGTCTGTTGGCTGGTCTCCCAGGCAGGCCACATAAAGAGACCCAGACAATGTTGTTTTGTTCCATGTGGAGTTTTACTAGGTTTTACAAATCAACCCTTTCTTTTTCAGAGGTGCGTGTGGAGAATTTTAAGGCTACCGCTACTGTTTGACAGAACCCTTGTTTTCTGGTATTCTAAGAACTCTTTCATCCCATTTTCAGGTTACAGGACTCTCAGAGTTATTTCACTATGCAGTTAAGACCTTTCTCTTGCAAAGAGATGTGTAAGCAAAGTAGTTGCAGCACCAGGGCTTAAATTAGTTAGAATTTCACTTTGGTTTCCATTGTAATTTCTACTATAAAATGTTTTCTCTTTCTGAATGCTCTGCCTAGGTTGAAGTCATTTCAAAGCATGAAAGCCATGAAGTAGTTATGCCAGTTGTGGTTTTGTAGTTTTGCTGTTAAGAGGACTTTATGTTTGCTACATTAACTGGAATTTTTATGCAGATTTTATCCAAGATTTACTATTTAAGTTTGTTCCTTTTGATGTATTTATTCTATAATCAGTGGCTGCATAGAAGATGTAGATTGTTCAAGAAGCACGAGTTGCAGGGCACAAGTTGCTTTCTCTGTAGCTGTGTGCTGGAACCAGCAGTGTTTGGAGTCAGCCTGTGTGCTTTCCTGATTCCTGGGATTTTTGCATTCTTGCTTGGAGATGGTTAGCTGAAATAAGTAGAAAGGACACATACCCTAGAAGTGTAGATAACTCTAAAAAAAAATAGGTAAGTGGGTTTTATTCCTTCCAGGATGAGAAGAACCCAGCTTTTCCTCTTCCAGTAACTTAATTAGTAGTAACTTATTCCTAAAAAGATCCCAGTTCAAAATATTTTCCTAACCAAGTACCTATACTCGAGGGTGAGTAAAATTCAATTCATGCTGAATTAAATTGTGTGATTGGGCAAGGCCATGAAAGAAGTATTTACAAAAAGACCCCCTGTGCAGTTCCAGGGGCAGGCTGTGATTCTGGGTGATCTGTGGAGACCTTGGAAGGATCTGCCAATCATTGCTATGAACTGTTAGCTAAGCCTGGGGAAGCCTGCATTTATTGCTGAATGTTGACAAAAAAAAAAAAATTGGATAGAGTCCTAGACCTTTATGTTGAATGGGGTAAAATTAATTAACTGCACATTTCCAGACCAGTGACTAGGAAAAGAGGCCATTTATGATATTTATGGTATTCCCTAGAGTAGAAGCTGGAAGGAATGAGAGTGTAATCTACCATCTCTGACCTGCTTCAGTAGGCAGGAGTTTACATTTCAGCACTCTGCCTCAAGGTAGGCACAGTACCTTGTTACAGTTTCAGCCCTTGGTTTATCTGGTGTTAGGTTTTGGACTTTTTCTCCTCACAGAAGAGAGAATGGTTAAGTTGGAACCCTTTTCTTTCTCTCCAATAGAACTTGTCTTCTTGATTCACAGTAGCTCAAGTTGGTAAAGCATTTTGCTTGCATCAAGTTAGGGAAGTATGCTTTTAAGAAAAATAACACTTTGTATTAGAGAGTTCCTTGTTCTCCCCTGCAGAGAATTCTTCTGCTCACAGATAGAGGGTCTGGCTGTATACCACTGGCCATCTAATCATATTAGTGATGGTATTTCAGAGTTGACTTTCCTTTGGCCTGTGGAGCAATCATGGCATCAGCAGGTGTCTGAGAGAAAGCATTGAGCATCCACAGCCTGACCATCTTTAATCTTCAACTTCCCAGAGAGATAAGCCATTAGTTACACGCAGAGCTTCCTCTAGATGAAAACTGTGGTCCTCTTTCTATCCGAGATTTACCTATAGAGCTTTTTATGTGTGGGTCATACAGTAGAAATCCTTTATGTTCTTTCCATCAATGGTTGTGTCCCCCAGAACAGAAGAAATTCCTGAAATGATTTCCTGAAAATAGAAATAAATAATAGAAATAAATATATCAAATGTTATAAATAAATGTATGGTAGTTGGGGAGTGTTTGTGAAATTGAATTTACTATTGTAAGCAACAGAGAGCAACCAACATTCACAGAATGTAGTCCTCTGTCTTTCCCAGTACAGCATGTTGAGCCTTCTGGGCAATTGCAGACAGAGGGGAAAATGTAAAAAAATCCAGTAAGTTGCTGTACATTTTTTAAAACATACATGTCTGAATGTAAGAAGAAGGCCCTTTTAATGAATTATGCAGCATGAAATGGGATCCTTGTTAGGCAGGAGAGAAGTTGTGTAAAGCTCAATCCATAGCACAAATCCGTAGGAAATCAGGTTTCATTGTTTCCATTCTCAATGAAACATCTTGCTGGTTTGCTCTTTTAGTCTCCCACCTCCTACTTCTTGAAAAAGATAAGTCTCCCTGAAACTGCACGACACTTTGTATGGTATTCTTACACTTTTACTAGAAATAGCGAGTTGCATTCACTTTGAAAAAAATGCAATTTGGTTTGTTATGGGATGATAAAACCAGGTTTACTGTGATAATGTTATTTTGACAGGGTTACTGACCTGAAAATTTCAAATTTCAACTGAATTCTGTCAGATGTCAATGGAATACTCTGTAATTGAGGAAGAACATTGCAAAAGTAAATTTAATTGTATTGCTAAATTTTTCATTGCTGTTTTTTAAGGTGTAACAGTTTTGTTAAGCAAATGTCATTCTCATGGTTGTTGATTTCAATAGGCAGGAACATAAGTGAAATTCTATACTACTTTGAGTGACAGTTGACAGAGTACAAACTGCTTTACTAAAAAGTGCATTAGGCAGTAGTTCCTACAAGACAGTTCAGAGACACCATAGGAAGAAGTGAATTCAAAAAATCATGAGAAAGTGAAGCAAATAATCTCCCACTGGGGCTGAGAGAATACAAGGAAAAGATAAACCAATTTGACAAGCTGTAGATATATATGTATTTAGAAGAATATAATTTTCAGATTTCTGCTCCTCAGAGATGCTCCTTTTTTGGGTAACAGCTTTTATACCTAAAGGATGCGGTGGTGAGCCCTGCAGTACACTGATGGACAAGTGTAAGGATGTTTCAGGAAGGAAGGCCTTCATGGTCACGTCTTTGGCACCTCTGTGGAAGAGGGCAAATTTGGAATGATCATGTAGGCTGTTAGTGGTTGCTGAGTCTGGTAGCTTGTGAGAGGAAAGTTTGCTCTAGCTCCACATTTCCTCATTCAGCCAGAAGTGAGACTGAGCACGTATTCCCAGCAGACACACAGCCACACACAGGGTACCCAGTACATACACAAGTGATTGTCCATGCAGATCAACACAACAGAAAGCACAGCATAAACAATAGCTGTGGATTCACCCTGTTCCCCTCCCTGGCTGATCAGTGTGAAAGCCCTTTAACAGAAAATGTGCACACCTGTATGTATATTGTCCTGGCTTAGGAATGGCACTCCCCAATTCACTGCTCCCACTGAGACTCTCCGAACCACCCTGCTGCTCTCTCTCACTCCCTCATGTCCCCCTCACCTTCTCACTGCAGCAGGATGGAGGTGAGGATTGGGGGCACAAAAGACAAAGGTCATGCACTGAGATAAGAACACTTTACTGGAAACCGCAGTGAGATAAGAAATTTAACAGTAACAGCAGCAGTAACAAAAGAATGCAGAAAGAGAGAATGCTTCACATGCAGAAATGCTCACCACAGACCCCGGGACAATGAACAATATGGGAGAGCTTCCCCCACCACATTTTTTCAACAGGAAGGAACCCCTTCTCCCCAGAAGAACAGGAGAGTTCCTTTCCTGTGGCCAGCAATGAGGTAAGGTGGTATAGAATAACATCAGAGTCCTGGCCATGACCCCTCAGCCATATCCCTCTTGGCTGCTGCAAAAATTAACCGTGTCCTGCCTAAAAACAGCAATATTTATATATTTATACACACACACACACATATATACACACAGTATAGATTCATCCAGATCCATTTCATGCAATATGAACAGGACAGCCAGAGGATCAGGTCCAGCCAGCATGGGTTTGTGAAAGGCAGGTCCTACTTGGCCAACCTGATCTACTCCTGTGAGCAGGTGACCCACTTGTTGGATGGGGGAGAAGCTGTGGATGTTGTCTACCTAGGCTTCAGTAAAGCCTTTGATCCTGTCTTCCACAGCATTCTCATGGAGAAAGTGGCTTCCCATGGTGTGTGTGGATGGGTGTACTCTTTGGTGGGTGGAAGATTTGGCTGGATGGCCAGGTGGGGGTTGGTGTCTTCTCCCACGCAACAAGTGATAGAACAGGAGGAAATTGCCTCAAGCTGCACTAAGGGAAGTTTACATTGGCTATTAGGAAAAATTTCTTCACAAAAAGATTTGTCAAGCATTGGAACAGACTGCCAAGGGAAGTGGTGGAGTGATCACATTCAAAAAACATGGTTATGGCATTGGAGGACATGTTTTAATGGTGAACATGGTGGTGGTGCTAGGTTGATGGCTGGACTTGACCTTAAATGTATGTTCCAACCTTAACAATTCTGTGAATCTGTAATTTTCTATTCAGCTTTTCTTCTATTCTGAATAATTTAGCATCAGTTGCAATCTTTGTGACTTTGCTTAAAACAGCCCTTAGTGTGGGTGCAGATGGACATATGGTGATGAACCTCATCATCATGAAAAATGTCCATTTGCCCCTACATTTTCTTTCTTGTATTTTATGCAATTATTTTTCCATCGTAAGATTATTCCATGGCAGTTTGGCTCTTCAAAGGCCTTAGGTGAGTGGCCTTTCAAAGGCCTGGTGGAAACCCAAACAGACTTTATCATTCAGATTATCTATTTCCATAAGTTCTAATAAAATCTAGGAGATCTGTGAAATATGACTGGTTTCTTGCCAGGATCAAACACCAAATTCCTGGAGTAAGTCTCCAGACATGGATGTGTCAATAGATTAATTCTTGCAGACAGTGAGGAAAAGTAAGTTATATGCCTGGTCCATCATCTTCAAGAATTTAATTTCTCAGACACTTAGTATCCCATTTGTTTTTTAAATTAGTTATTACTGTCAAAAGTTATTAAGTCTGAAAAAATGGAGAGACAGCATAACTACAAAAATTAATTGCCCTAAAATAGGAAGTTTCCTATTTTTCTAGCCTTATTCACACTAGTGATACCTTGAAATTACTTCAAATTAGATTTTATTGTCCAGTAAAATACTAATCAGCATAAATGAAGCTGTCAGAAAGCTACATAAAAAACTGCCATAAATAGTTATTCAGTTTGGATTAAATCTTTTGATCATTCAGGGTCAGCAGAGACCATTATGGATATGTACTCATATCTGTGTTATATCAGATGCCAGGAAATAGTACCCATTTATTCTGTGTGAAGTCTAATGCATTGTGGTCATTTGAGGGTCCAAGGGGGATGCTGAGGAATCTACCAAAACATTTCAATAAAATAGCCCAGTAGTATATTACCTTCATTTAAAATTTGCATTTCTCTTTCTGGTAAGATTTTTCTAGCTTTGGATTTCAGCCAGTAAATATTTTTATGTCTTTGTCTGCTCTAGAAACTGGACACCATTCTACTAATCTGATACTCTGTGTACTTATATTTGTGTCACTATCAAAATAATGCTTGTACATTTCTCTTGTTCCATCCTCTTCCTCACCCGTGGTGTTAAAAAGGACATCCTGTACCCCTGCACTTATTATAACATTTTCCCAAGAAAATTAAGCCTCTGGTAGTTACTTTTCTATTTCTTCTCTTTCTACCAAGAAAAGGACTTGGGAAAGAAATTTGCTTGCTGAATAAATTCCTCCTAGTGCCACCTATGTTTTTACTCTGCCACAAAGAGGAAAGTCACAGAGAGTAAACAAACAGTCTCTCCTGTGCTAAAATCTATACAAGCTCTGGCATGGTTTTCAATCATGTATTGCTTGATGTGAAAAAACAAAACCCTATTTCAGCATTAGCAGTTAATAGTATTGACATTCTGAATAGCCAATTCAGCTCAATATTACTGGGAAAAATGTAATTTGAGCAATCAGATGGATGAAATTCATTTTTTTAAATGATAAAACCATCTTCTTGGTTATAATTTTCTTTAGTTACCATTTCTTTATCATGTGTTTTTTTAGCGTAGCTGCATTTGTCATGTTACTGGTAATGTAGTTAAGTTTAATTTCTCCTATAAACCCTTGTAGAGGGCTGTGTATAATTCTGTTTGTGTCATTACAAATTCTGATTCATCAGTTTAGATTGTTGTTCTGAAGTCTTGGTTGCTGGAAACAGTGATTTTCCTCCTTGCCAGGAACTGATGATTTGTTTTCTTCCCAGAAGAAAAGCTTGTTATTTACTGTTCATAATATGTGATTTGTCTGCCTGACTGATATTTGGAGTCCATTTGTAGCTTAGATGTTTTTCAAGTAAAAATCTTTCATGAGTGAAGCAAGTGGATCAACACCAAGTGAGTAGATTTAGCAATGCAATGCATTTCACATTTAAAATGTAATAAAGGGTGGATCTCTGCCTCATGACCTTGTGTCAGAGGTTGGCCATCATTCTGCAAGCCCTCAGGTTTGTATTCAGCCTTGCCACTGTAATGTGTTCATGAACCAGCAATGTCCTGTTCCCAGGGGTGGTGGAAGGCTCCTTCTTTTTAATTTAATTTGATAATACCTTCTTTTGTGCTAGGAAACTTCTCTGCATTTATTATTTTTGCTATTCCATAAGGGAGGAAATCAGTGTTAACCTTAAATTAAGTCTAATTGTTGGGAATTAAATTTTGGAAAGAAACATCTAAAGATCACCTCAGCATTTTGGTGTCGAAAGGAGAACTGACTGATCTGACTTGTTGAGTTAATGGGAGATTATGTGACAAAAGTACCTTTCTTAATTAGGGAGATCATGAGAGGAAGAAAACAAGGATGTGAGGGGAAACATTTAAGGCTCATTAAGATACTCTTTTTCCCCTCAGTCATAAGTCTCTTTACCAACAAATGAAAACATAGATCTAGAGTTCTGCTGAATGAATAGCAAGACCCTTTCTTTCTGTGTTCTTTTTCTGAGTTCCCAACTTGAACTGAAGGGCAGCACCTTTATAGGTAGGTAGGTAGTTAGGTAGGGTAGGTAGGTAGGTAGGTTGGTTGGTTGGTTGGTTGGTTGGTTGGTGTGGTGGTGCATAATTTTCATATTACCTTTTTTTTTTTTCTTCTTCTTTCTTTCCAGGACTCATTGGAAGTCCTGATTTTGCTTCTGTTATCTCTATGGGCAGTCCTGTTCTTTTCCACCTTTATGGGAAAAAAACGGCTTATGTAAGTAAGGATGATGGGACCAAGACACAAATTGAGTTAAAGAGGGTAGTTGAACCTAGTGAGAATTATCCAAGTGCATTTAAAATACAAATGTTATTCTATAAATGCTTTTTGTTCATGTTATTTAACTTAAAATCTTTCTTGTTTTACATTGGGTAGCATTAAAAAGCTAGCAGTTACCAACTTTTTTATATAATTTACCTGGAAACAGCACTGTCAAGTTCAGCTTAATGGTTGCTAATGTTTTAGAGAGCAGCCTGTATGAGTATACATTGAGAGAAACTGAGGGAGAGCCAAAATGCCCAATGGGGATTTAAAAGCAAGTTGGATGACTGATACCATGATACATTTTGGAATTTACTCTGTTAGTTTCAGCATCCTGACTAGAACATGATTTTGATTATTTATGTTCTGTTTCTTCAAATTTCCCACTATGTTTTGTGCTTAACTGTTGTGGCACTTAGCATTGTCTGTTCTAATCCATTTTGTTTGGGATGTGGCAATTCTTGTAGCACATTTTCCTCCAGAAGTGTAAACAGCTTTTCCCACTGTAAGTTGGCAGAAGAGGGGACACTTTTTCCCATGGTATGCACAAAGCCCATAAATGAATCCTTCTGGATGATAGATTCTCCATAAGTGTGAGATGATCATCACAACTGCTGTAAAAACCTGTATGCTGCTTGGAGAGTCTCAAATACACTTCTGACACTCTTTCCTTGCTGGTAGTGCTAGTTCTTCAGTGCTTTTCCTGCTGTTTAATCCTAATGTTTTGGAATTTTATTTAAAGTGAATAAACTGAAAATCCTGGCTCCCTCAAGTAACAATTCTTCAGCACAAACTGGTCCCAGCACCTTTTACAGTAGGTGCTATTAGCTATTATCATACCTGTATCAATCAAAGCAGCATACAAAGAATGTATCACTATTTAAACTAATTTACATCTTAAGTTTGCCATATAATTCCTCAAGGGATGGAATGACATTTAAGCATCATGCCTAGTGAGCAGCAATACTAAATGTTCTCTGAGAATATCAGTCACTGAAGTCTCAAGTTATCATGATCAATAGTAAGCCAAGTTCTGGCAAATATCTAAGTCTTATGGGAAGTGCTAGTAGTGCACTGACACAGACACACACACACACACACACACATATATATTCTGCATGTTGTCACTTTACTAAGTTATGTTGTCTCTTGACTCCTATTGCCCTCTTCTGCATTTTTTCAACTTTTATTCTTGGGGATTTTTTTTTTTTTGGTTCCTTCCTGCCTCATTTTTAATGCTGCTGTGAAGTCATTCCTTCCTGGCAACTACAATCCAAACAAAAGATGGGCTTTACCTTACACTCAAGCTTCCTGCATCAAGGGCTGGAAACTCTGGGTGATTGCAGTTACCTGCCATCAGTGTGAGATAGCAGGCTTGCTGCTGCCCCTGAGCTTGCAGGTCTGAGCCCCTGTGTCCTCCAAACAGGCTGGTAGGGTTTCTGGCCTCAGAAGGAAGGAGCTCTTTAGACTACAGGAGTGCTCTCTCCCCTTCTACCTGTACTTGCTCAGATCTTGTGGTCCACTGACCTCAGCAAATGAAATGGTGTTCAGATCCATTCCTATTATGTCATCTATGATTTCTGTTTCCATTGTTTTCTTCCTAAGTTTTGTTCAGAACTCTGGCTGGAGGCAAAATCTGATGGTCGGATAATTGGGGATATTATTTGGGGCTTATCAATGTATGTTCTTTTTGCTTTTCTTTCAAGTGCTATTCATTATACAATCCTTTGTATTTTACAGTGCTTTCCTTTGAAGTTCTAGATGTGGTTTACTCAGATTAATCTAATTGAGGTGAGCCTGGTCTAGTGGAACAGGTAGAAAATCGACACTACAGATAGTAATAGAATAGCATAGTTACACAGCCTGGGACATGAACCAGTTTTTAGTCATGTGCTTTTTTACTGTAGGGCTAATAGCAGAGTCTTTGTGGTCTCTTAGGAAAGAGATGTCATGATTAACTTGGCTGCTGCCATTATCTTGCCTCAATTTCAAATAGAACAATTTAGTGTCTTCAATGGTCTTGTGATGATTTGTTGTAATTGTCACAGTTCTCAGGTTTCCTGGTTGTTACATAGTTCTTAAATAGGCTGCTTCTATTATGCATTTCATACCCCAAGAAGGGATTGCATGTCTGAAAGCTTATTTGAGTTTTTCAAAAAAGCTGTATCTCTTATCTAATAAAATAAGTTACATTGACCTACAAGCTTTGTCTTGTCCTTAGCTGTAGAATTCTTTCTGTATTTTGTGTTCCTTGAATGCTGAAGAAGGAGTCTCAAACTGGGCCACAAAGTTTCTAGTAAATGCACACTGATGAAAGACATGTTTGCAGTCAGAATGTGTCAGCTGGTTTTAAGTTTCAGACTGAAGTTGTGTTGAGAGGACAAGGTAAGGCAGTTTTTCTGGTGATAAAGAGAATATCTTTTTATCCTGCCTAGTCTCCAGTTACACTGACTTTGGACCTTTCACAAGTAGCCAATTCAGAGGGAAAAAAAGAAAGATAAGAAAAACAAAATAAAAAGTAAGCAGTCTTCTTGTTCCTACAGTCTATAAGCTGGTGATAGATGAACCTTCAGGGATTTAAAATTCACTCCAAATGAACATCCAGCACTTCAGATTGTTATCAGATGAACCAGTCAAATCTAGAGAAGTCTTACATAGGTTTACCATTCTGCACTGTTAAAATGAAAGAACATGAGAATAAATTTCTTAATAACATTTCACCATTTGTTGTATCAGAACAGAAATTGGAAGCTGTCTGAATCTGGACTGCATCTTACTTTAGAGTGACAGAGAAAAACCAGAGATTTCCTGGTTATTTTAATTAGTTTGTTCTTTGCCACTAAATATGTTGGCTTGGACAAAAATCCAAAATTCAAATACCTGACTGTGTTTATATGTGCACAGATGCGTGTGCTTCAGTCAAATATACCTTATTTATCCACACATCTATGTTTTAAAAGAATTCTCAGAGACAAAATAACAAGTATTTTCAGTATATTCTTATTTCCACTTGTGCATAAAGATCAGCCAAAGGTTAACATTGCAACCATTTTGCAGCTATTTGCAGAACATGAGTTATTTCTTCTCACTTCAATGTGTCATTGTAATTAATTTACATTGGAGAATAGCATTCCATTTTTAATTTAACTAGTTCAATTTAATTCTGAGTCCTTGTTAGAACATAGCTAAAACAATGACCGCATCTTATGAAAATATATAACAAGAAAATAACATCTGCTGCACTATGCTGGCAAACACCAAGGCTAATGAATGGTTGTCAGCATCAAAACAGATGTCTGTTTACAGTTTAAAAAATATTCTTTACCAGTCTAAGTAAATCCCCAAATTAATTTAACTCTTGTTTGCAGTGTGTGGCTCAAATTGCTTTTCTATGGTGAATCATGATGAAAATATTGGTAGATTGAAAGGTCTCTGCTCCCCTTAAGAAGTCTGACTTCAATGTGACATCCTATTTGGCTTGTGGAATCCATAAAAACAGTTTGATTTGATGAGGATTATCTTGTCAGTAGGTCAGTAGAAGACTTTCCTAATATGCCGAATACAATTATCTTCATAGGGGTATTACTGCTCAAAATGCTGGAGGGTTTTCCTTGAAATGGAAAAGGAACATTTAAGGGAAAGAACACAGATAGCTATATCACGTAATTGAGTGAAATAAAATGGAAACAACTTCATTGCTGTCCACTCTATATGTCGTATTCTTAGCAGTTCTCATCATGTAGACCTTGGATCTTCTTAGATCTACCACATTTCCCAATGTGAACAATGTAAACACCGACACTCAAAACAACGAACAAATTGCACTCAACATCCATAGGCCACTCTTCCATTTCTCTCTCCTCACTCAAGTCATATTAAATTCAGTCCCTTCTTTTTCCTGGGATAATGAGTTATTTTAAATCTTTCTGGGTTATCCAGGTCAGTATAAGGAAAGCTCATTTTGTAATGAGGAGTCTTATTTTTTCATCTGAGACATTCAGTGTACAGAGTCAGAGGTTTGCAGGTCAGGATGGAGCCACCGGTGCAGATTCTAAATTATTTCCTTGAATGTATAGGTTTTTTTTAACCTTGTAACAGTGTCTCTACTTTGTCAAGTTACATGGCTCTAAGTGCACTTTCACGCTAATGTGAGCATTAGACAATATATTTTGACCACTTTTTTCCATAATGGTGACATTAATACTTGAATAACTCCATCATGACGTTATTCTTTTTCCTTGTTACTTTTTCTCCAAAGCAAACAGCATTTAAGAAGATTAATTGTTTTTTGAGAATGAGTCAACAAATTACATGTTGTGTTTTATCTTTATCATACACAGAAAATTACTGCTACAGTGTGTCAGTAATTCACAATGACATATAAATTGGACTGAATCCAGCAGAGATCACAGCATGGCGAACACTGCTCATTATTCAATTTACTTTTATGGACATCAAGAGGAATTAAAAAGGAGTCTGTAGGTGTTACTGAGGCTTTTGCTGTTTTGCCAGAATAATCCCTAAGTATTGCACATACTTAAACAGTTGCAGAGGTTATGAGTAGTGCACAAGCACAATGCCACTTAATGTAAGCAGTCTTTCACCACTTGCACTGTTAAAACTTGCTGGATTGCTGTATTATTCTTACTGAAAGATGCAATCTTTAATTTTGTACCTGAAGTTTTAGATGTATCTTCCTGTTTGTTGTAGGTATCGACTTGCTCATCATAAAGGTTCCTCAGTAAGGTAGTGAACCCAAAAACATGCAAAAAAACCCATGGGATCAACTTTCCAAATTATTTGCTTTCTTCACAAAGCAACTTTTTCTGAGCTACTTGCTACTTCAAAACTATGGATTTGGGTTCTTTTTTAATCATCTCAGTTTCTAGCAAGCGTGAGGCACCGATTATCGTGTAGAAACCACTGAACTCTGACTTCTTATTCCTTTGATG